ACTTATACCCTTACTAATTTAGGAACAACATTATTCACATACAATAGCTAAAAGTATCTGACATTAGAATAAAATTACTGATAATGGTCTAGAACTTGATGTTTAAATTTTTAAATCTGCTATTTTTTTTCGAAGTTTTGTAAAAACAACTTTCAGCGATTACAGAGATAGATGATGGCGCCATTCGGTGGCGCCATTTCGTAAGCAAATCGAAATTAGTGCCATGTAAGCGGAGAAATATTATGCTTAATGAACTTTACGAGATCAGTTGACTGTATTATATATAGGCATAATTTTATACGCGTGGTGTAGTTTCTTTGAGCAGAAATATTATTCCCTTAGAATACTTATTTTTTCAAAATTTATTAATGACACAAACATACATTTAAAATTTTATTAAATGCGAAAAAGACATTGAGTGTCACTTAATAAGTTATGTTAATCTTCTGTTTATTCTTTATTATTACTTCTGTTGTCAAATATTTATCTATACTTATCAATTATTTAAAAAAATTTGATAATGACAACCAGGCAAACTTTCATCCCCTATTTTTCGCGATAAAATGATGCCTAGAATGTCCTTTCTTAAAGTTAAGTCTATTTACTATATTAATTTACATTTAGATGGGTTCAGTTGTCTAAACGTAACAACACTTATTTATCTTACTTAAGCTATCGATATTTTTAATAAGATTCTAAAATCTAGCTAATTATCGATACTAGAACCATATGCTGAACAAATTAGAACTATACCGAGTTTGCCAAAGCATATGCAGTGTTATATTCCAACTATATTGAATCATCATATAAAATATAGCATTTTATAATCAACAATAAATATCGATTATAAGTTTATTGGAAATTAACAATATTGTCGAAATAAATATCGATACAAATCGATTACTTTTTCCCTATGAATTTTTATGAATTTTCCGGATCTCGGACACAGCAGTGCACAAGCGTAAACACGTTTTTCATTGCCGCCATCACGGACCTGAAAAAACCGGTCCGGAATAGGGCGCTTGTGCACTACACTGAATTTTCATGTCCGGCGGTCCGAATTTTTCAGGTCCGATATGTCAGGCCATATGTAGGTAATGCGCGCTTGTGCACTGTCAGGAATTTTACCGTCCGGAATTTTACTTTTCTCTATTCCGGACCGGTTTTTTCAGGTCCGTGATGGCGGCAATGAAAAACGTGTTTACGCTTGTGCACTGCTGTGTCCGCGATCCGGAAAATTCATAAGGAATAGGCTTGGAAAAAATAATCGATTTGAATCGATATTTATTTTGGCAATATTGTTAATTTCCAATAAACTTATAATCGATATTTATTGTTGATTATAAAATGCTATATTTTATATGATGATTTAATATAGTTGGTATATATCACTGCATATGCTTTGGCAAACTCAGTATAGTTCTATTTTGATCAGCGTATGGTTCTAGTATCGATACTTAGCTAGATTTTAGAATCGTATTAAAAGTATCGATAGCTTAAGGTAAGATAAATAAGTGTTGTTACGCTTAGACGCATAAACAACTGAACCTATCTAAATGGAAATTAATATAGTAAATAGACTTAACTTTAAGAAAGGACATAGGCTACATTTTATCGCGAAAAATAGGGGATAAAAGTTTGCCTGGAAATTTGTCATTATCTAATTTTTTTAGACAATTGATAAGTATTGATAAATATTTGACAACAGGAGTAATAATAAAGAATAAACAGAAGACTAACAAAAGTAATTAAGTGACACTCAATGTCTTTTTCGTATTTAATAAAATTTTAAATGTATGTGTCATTAATAAATTTAAAAAAAAATAAGTATTTTAAGGGAATAATATTTCTGCTCAAAGAAACTACACCACGCGTATAAAATTATTCCTAATAATATTTCTGCTCAAAGAAACTACACCACGCGTATAAAATTATCCCTATATATAATACAGTCAACTGATTTCGTAAAGTTCATTTAGCATAATAATTCTCCGCTAACACGCCACTAATTTCGATTTGTTTACGAAATGGCGCCACCGATTGGTCTATCTCTGTAATCGCTGAAAGTTGTTTTTACAAAACTTCGAAAAAAAGTAGCACGTTTAAAAATTTTAACATCAAGTACTAGACCATTATCAGTAATTTTATTCTAATGTCACAGATATTTTTAGCTATTGTATGTGAATAATGCTGTTCCTAAATTAGTAAGGGTATAAGTTTTTACATCTGATAGTAGTCATCCGATAGTAGTAAAAAAATGTTTTCGTCTTGCCATAATTTATTATGGTTTATGTAAAACGATCAGACCATTATTTAGGTACCTTTCTACGTTTTCGAACGGAATTACCGATGTTCCAAAAATCTCATCGTATCTAGCGTAAGTGACGTGTAGCTTCAAAGAGAGCTGCCCTACACTGCGCCTCTCCGATCAAGAAAAAAACGGACAAGTGCACAAGCTACTCATCCGAGTTTTTCATGTCATTCCGGACCGGAAAAAATCGGACCGCCGGACCTGAAAATTCAGTGTAGTGCACAAGCGCCCATAGAGAAAAGTAAAATTCCGGACGGTAAAATTCCTGACAGTGCACAAGCGCGCATTACCTACATATGGCCTGACATATCGGATCAGAAAAAATCGGACCGCCATACATGAAAATTCAGTGTAGTGCACAAGCGCCCTTACCCTTCTTTGAATGAGGAAGAATTTAAAAAAAAAACAATTTCGTTCTTGATTTCTCTATGACATCCTTTCCGGAGTTCTTTCAAATTTAAAAGTGCATTAGTTTTCTAAACTCAATTAACAACTCATGTTCCATTTGTAATTTTTCGTATTTGTATTGATATCAAAGTTTCGAACATTTCAAATTTCATTTTTTTAATATGTTAAAAGTTAAAAGGATCGGAAATTACTATCCTTGGTCCATTCGTTATCTACAAAAAACAACTTTTGCTAAAGTCGCCATCTAGTAGGGGTGCTTTTTAGTGCTTTCGTTTTTTTAAATACTTTCTCATTAACACGTTAATAAATTAACACGTAAAAAAATTATCATTGGTCTATAGCACGTTAATAATTTTTTTGTCGTTTCAACACCTCAGCGAAACTACTCAAGTCAAGTCAGCTAACTCGTTTCGTTTAATTTTTGTTTGCGAATACTTAAACGTAGTGTTTAAATTCTCTTTGATAGAATCTAAACCTGATTACGTAAAATAAAATTTAGATTTTATGGACCTTGTCGAATAATCTTTCTGTTAGATAATGTATCTGATAAGTCTGATGTGACTCGCGAACCATTCCGTTTATCGTCATCGAAACTAGCCTTACGCAATGTATATCACTCACGCGAAAAGAGAGATATACATCTTTTAGCTCGAAGATATGTATCTTTTATATTTCGCTCAGTTCGAAGTTCTGAGCGAGATATAAAAGATAAATATTCTATTGAACATGATAAAGTAAAGCGGTTGTAAGTGAAACGTTCGCAGATTAATTTTTTTAGTTTGAGATCATGATGTTGATGTTTTAAAAATAAATGGCTATTTACAAATTTTATTTACAAATTTTATTTACATATATGTAGATTTCTACTATAATATTTACGTTTTCTTACATGCATTTACCTTTTTTAAATACTTATTAATATCAGATGTCACGCGCCGATCGATGTTTCGTTTGATTAGAAACGAAGACTACATATCTAGAAAAACATTTTACTTCTTGATTTTTAAATATATTTTATTATCATTAGGCAAAAATAATGTCTTTAAATTTCACGAACTTTTTAACCTAATGAATGTTTGTTATGTTTCGAATTGGTGTGAGACGGGAGAGATTACGTATCGAATTGACGTATAATCTGTGCCAAACTTTAGGTCATTCTAAAGCACAGAACACCAGTGTTGCCAACGTAGGCGCTTTTTCGCCATTTAGGCTACTCAGAACGAGAACTGGCGACGAAAAAATCTAAAAGGCGACTGGTCGCCAATTAGGCTACTCTAGGGGCATGTTTTTTTAAGGTAAAAAGGCATACGGCCGCGCGTGCGTGTGTATAGTGTAATTTTTGGATACAAGCGCTAAAAATGACGAATGCTGGTGGAAGCCAGATATTCAAAGAACTAGCAGAGTTTTCGATACGATGCCTTTCATTACCTTTGAGTAATGCCGTCGTTGAAAGAATTTTCAGCGTAATGGGGACAATCAAAACAAAATTAAGGAATCGCATGCAACTGCCCATGTTGATTGCCATTCTTAGAATTCGAACCCATATGAATGTAAGAGGTATGTGTTGTAACAACTTTGAACCAAGCAATTACATGGTCAGTTTACACGCTGGCAGAAAAATGTATGTCTCCGGTGGATCTTGCGCCAGTACTAGCACATCAACAACTTCTGAAGTCGGTGAAAGTCTTGTTGATGCCTTATTATTGCTAGCAGAGGACGAATCAGATTAGTTCTAATTTTTGTTAATTTGTTTATTAGTTTTTAAAATGTAAATTTTAATTAGGTACATTATAACGTGTTGAAGATGGCTTTTGCCTCCTGATCACTGTGTTTTGAACGTATATTATAAATAAATTGATAAAAACTACATTTTATTTTATTCATATTGATGTTTTTGTGTTTGGGCTACTTTAGGCTACTATAACTGAAATTGGGCGATATTAGGCTACTTAATTCATGAGAAATGGCGATATTAGGGCTAGGGCTGTTGGCAACACTGCAGAACACATTTACTCCCTCTAAAGTTGTTTCTAGCATAGCTGCGTTTAGAAAGTAAATTTTATTTTTAGGTTTATAAAATACCGTATCCCTCCGCGACACAACTTCAGAGCGAACTAGAAGATTTGAAAGGAATATTTCATTCACTCTCAGTTATCGACTATCGTGTTACGAAGATAAATATGTATTTAAAACATAGGCGAGCGAAATGACATATTATCTCACTTGAGACATTTATATCATTCGCTCGCGAGCTGCTCAAGTCTAATCGAAAGTTGAAACCGGTTATTACATTACTTGCAAGTTTTAATTCAAGTTGTAAAGATTTAAAACACGTTTAAAATATTTTTTTTTGAAAAAGATGAAGAAAATTGTAATTTTCGGTTCCACTGGTATGACTGGCCTCTGTGCCTTGGAGACAGCAGTAAAAAAAGGTAGAGTGTCTTCAAAAACTTCATTTATAATGAATTTTATTATTTCTGTTATTTGATATGGTGTAACCTTGGTAAAGAATTGAATTTTTACCCACTATTAAGCCAAATTATATTTTATTTATTTATTTCGATATCATTTATTTATTAACAACAACATTTACATCGATCATTACAGCTTATAGCCAATGCGATCTAGTAAACCTTAACAATTTTATCTTATCTTAACTGAAATGTTTAAATCTATTCTCTAATTTATTAGTCCATGTTACAGTATAAAAAAAGATACTTTTTTCATCACATATCTTATTATTATGGTTACGGTAACTGCATTATTGCTGTGTTTATTACTTATTTAGTTTACTTTATAAGAAAGTAATACTTTTTCCATTTATTATATTTTTCGTAATAAGTATAACAATGTATGTAATGGCAATTTGAGTTATATCTATAATAAACAGAAGGTTATGGATAAGGATTGGGATTTTGTTTGTACCTTGAGGTACCTTTATGGCAGGGTTCCATGAGAAATGAATAATACATGATTTTTTAAGGATTGAATTTAATATTTAATTCAATTAAATATAGCCATCATGATGGCACCAACTATATTTTAGAAAGTGATAAAAAAAAAATGATGTTATGTTAGCGAAGGGATATATATCAATGCTGGAAAGCAAACAAATAGTTACCCGTAAAACCAAAATTGTTCTTTAGAGCAGAAAAACTTTTATTTTTTATTGATAAATAATTTCTATAAACGTCCATGGTAACAAATAAGGTTCCTCACGGTCAGTTGCACAAACGTCCATTATGGTTTAATGACGCCTTTAAGCTTTAATGAATGTCAAATTTGTATGGGTAATGTCACTTTAAACTAATGGAAATTTTAATGGACGTTTCTGCAACTGGCTGTCAGTCAATTTAATTAAATATCCATAATTATTATATTTGATCAATTTTGCATTGAAAAATATTCTCAATGAAATATGCTTAAGAAATCCACTTTGTCCCTGGCAATCTGAGATGGGACTTGAACCCCTGACTTTTTGCAATACGGGTGACTGCTCTAACCACTGAGCTACCTAAGATCTAACGGGATTGATGAATTTTTCAAGTCATGGGTTTGAGTCCCATCTCAGCAAAGTGGATTTTTTAATAATTTCCATTAAGAATAAATAAACATAAGTTGTAAAAAATAAAACACTAAGTTTCTGTCACAGTCTGGGGGTCATAAACACGGAACATATGATTGCTACTCGAATAATTCAGTTCAAATACAAATGCCTTGTTCCAAAATCAAAACTTACTAGCCTGTATTTTAGTAATGGATGAGGACGGGCGTAAGCCATGTAGCATGACGAACTCGAGAGATTCAAGAAATGCTTTAAGAACTCAAAAGGCGTGTCGAGATTAATGGTTGGCCTTCTTCCTATGGGCGTCTCCACAACTCAACAGCAAAGTTTTTGCGTGCGGACAGTGTATGACTGCAAGTTATTGATGATTATGATCTGCCTTACAATATCTCACTCTCAATCCCACTCTCAATAAAATATCCATCGAACATAGAACTGGAGGAGGCTTTTGATTTTGAAGTTGCTTCTTAAAATAAATTATAAGCAAAAAAAACAACTCTCCTACGCCGAAGAATACTAGCAAGATAAAGTTATCTTTGTTTCAGGTCTGTCGGTGCGGGCATTCGTTCGAGATCCAGCGAAAGTTCCCGAGAGCTTGAGAGATAAGGTGGAGATAATCGAAGGTAATGTGTTGGAGCCGGATTCCGTCGCTGAAGCGGTGGAGGGCGTGGACGGCGTGGTGGTAGCCCTCGGCACTCGCAATAACCTGGACCCTACCTCCGACATGTCCGAAGGCACCAAGAATATCATTGACGCGATGAGAGCTAATAACGTGAAACCGATTTCAGTATGCTTATCCGCATTTTTATTTTATGACGATGACAAAGTGCCGGCTCGATTTGTTGACTTGAATGAAGACCACAAGAGAATGTACCAGGTGTTGAAGGACAGCGGACTCGATTGGGTCGCCGTTTTCCCCCCACATATTGCTGGTAGGCATACTTTAGAACACACCATTAACAGGAACTAACTAGTAGCACAATCAGACCTCGCCGATTAATTTATTCCTATTTGATGATAATATTTATTTAATTTACGATCTGACGTTAATGGCAGCGTCCATAACGTGTTTCGCTATTAAGCGTCATCGATAAATAAACTGTTTCGTTATTACCTGTGGTTCATTGTGAGTGATAATAACATAGTGGTAATACTTTGTACGACATATTTAATCGCACATCGTTTATTTCTACAGACGAGCCCAGTAGGCAGATCATCGTCCAAGTGAACCCCACCACTTCTCCTGGTCGAACCATCTCTAAACGGGACCTCGGAGCTTTCCTCGTCGATTCGCTCTCCGAGCCGAAGTACTACAAGTCTGTCATCGGCATCACTAATGTACCGAAACAATAATATAATGTATTAGCATTGTAAGGGTTATAGGTGATCTTTTTTATTATATTTAATACTTTCGTTTTCCATTGCCATGTTAAATGCGTAATTTTAGTCTACATAGGTATACCTCATAAGATTTATATGAATGGATTTATGGTTGTATAATAAGACTGCGCAATAGAGCGGTTAGTCATTTATTTTGTTAAAAATAAATATTAGAAGTTATTTTCTTTTTTTTTGTCAACATCCCTTGACTGCTGTTTCGTTCAATAAGCTCTGGTCCAGTATACAGTCCTCATGTCGACTAGTGAAACCGATGTAGTTTAGGGGTGTAATGTGTCCATTTTCTCCTGTGCTTTGAAAGGTTGGCGAGGTGGTGAACGATTCCTTGCTTATTTTATGTACGGTGGGCGATGCTATACTGCTGGGATAGACGCTTGTCGTACACATGTCTGTCGTCGAGGTGATCGTATTAGGACTCCACGGATAATTCACTTTGACAGTGTGAGACTCCAAGTTCTGTAAACAAGGGCTATAATAAAACGATCCTATCGTCCAGGAACTGTACGTCTCCGCACTAAACTTCCCTTTAGGCAGAAGCTTGAAATCGTTACTGGATCTTGAAGAGTCTCTTTTTAGTAGCATGAGAGTGGTATTACTTTCAGTCTTTATTTCTGGGCTGGTCATTCCATAGGTGGTTGAAGAATTCGGCAAAATGCTTTCGGTCGATAGAGAGTCTAAGCTGCTACCTGTCCATGTGGAAAATGACGAAGATAATGTATTATCCCTGATCATGAAGTTAATATCGAACTTTTCGCTCCAAGACTCTGTACTCCAAGGCGTGCTGATCATTCCCAATGTGTCATCATCATCAGTAAGCGTTATTTCGCTGGAATAAATAATACTGTCTTCGGTAACTGATGTGGCTAGGGTTCGGCTTAATTGCGAACCTTCTGAAGATCTATCGATTTTTGTAGCAGACTGTACTCGCTCAAGATTAGAGCTCATGGTAGCGTTTTATTTCATGGACTCGCATGTTCAGGCTGTATGGATCTTTGATAATAAAGCGATTGGATAGCAATCGGTGGCTATTTGTAACAACCACCTGTACTGTTGCATGGAGGTCACGATACTTTCTAAGTAATGTATTGGGTTCATTGTTGATTTACTGACGTCGCGCTCGACGGGATCTACTGCTGCATGTGCATCAAACTAATTACTTAAAACATTCTATGAATGTTCACTTACTTTTAACCGGTTTAGTTTTCCATGTAGTTATTTTTTTTGTTATTGTAATTTTCCATTTATTTTTTGTTACATCAGTTTGAAAATGATTACTCGTGATCGTGATGCCTTCACAACTTTGACGTTGTCTATTTTTTTTATGAAATGATATGATATTATTTGGAGCCAGCTTTTTTTGTATAAAGAGTTCCATTTGGTTTAATAATTCGCATTCTTAGTTAGAATTATAATAAATCTATGATAGATATTTCGTCGGGCTTATAAGTATATGAAAAAACATTAAAATGGACACTTAATGATTATTCCAAATAAGAATCGTACATCATTTGCTCACACTGACTCACGAGTGACCAATTTTAAAATTATTGAGCTTAGCTTCACTTACAAGGTCTTCATGCTAGTGCCTATAATCCGAAAGTAAAATTGCAATAATGACGTTATTATAAGTAGTTCGGAAAATTATTGAAGTTAAAATATATTTGTCATTCATCAAGATTTGGCACACATTGTGCTTCGTTTTATGTTAGGGATTCATGTAAACATATCTCGAGTTACTACTCAGTGTTTCAGACAGATTTGCAGATTCCCGGCCCGGTCTACGGTCCCAGCTAGATTTGCAGTTGTTAATACCCTCCAATCTCGCTGGCCCAACTACCAGCGTGGAGGGTATGGGCCATTCCTCTTTACCATTCATAATGAAGACTTGAGCCCCTGCAGCGGGGACGTAAATAGGCTATGTTAATAGACTGCAAGTATCAGCGTTATAAGCGTAGTCGTATTTCATCAAATACTTCTTACACTCTAACTGCCAATATTGCATCCCATGCAGTAAAAAATATATAAAATATTATATTTGATAAATTTTGCATTCACAATAGTATACTGGAAAATATTCTTAATGACAAATGCTTTATAACATTGTTAAATCTTTATTTATTTAACTACCTAAGTATATTTACAAAAACTATATACAATTTTACAACAGACTAAGATCAGGAAGGAAGGACTGACGGCTCAAAGGCGCAACTGAAGCACTGATTGATCTGTTCAAATAAAGCTCTGAATGATCTGTCACATCTGGCAGGTAATCTGTAAGCATACCGATCAGGATTTGTATAGCATTGGACAGACAGACAATACTGGTTGGTTTGTTGACAGTGACAGTTCGTTTTGACACATCAATCAGGGCTTATGGTAACGCGGTAAACATTAGCAGTGTTATTAATAAACAAGGTTTAACGTTGGAGTGAATTTACAAGGTTAACCTAGTACATGGTACTATGGGAGTAATATTTACCCCTAGAAGGTAGTAGGTTTGCTTATTCTCTGTATAATATGAATTTGGACTAATACTTAAATAGCAATTATAGCGTAAATTTACTCTGACGCTAAACTTTGTTTATTAATAACACTAACTGTTTATGATGGCAAATCAATCAATAGGTTGATTTGATTTTTATTGGTATTCAAATGGCTTTCTGTCATCTGTCTGCATCAATCTTAAACTTATGCTAACTATCTCTAGAGTCATCCTTTGTTAAGTTCAGTAATTCTATATCTAATAGCATCTTGCCGAGATCACCAGTGCGGAAAGCCTTGATCATGGTCCGGGCAACCTCTACCAGATCAGGCACATCTCTCACACGTCCATCAAAGTCACGAGTCCTTCTCACACGGTTGAATTTTATTGCACCTGCTAACAGCACCTGTAAAAATTATAAAATTCTCATGTCATAATGTATGTCACTGATTAACTCCAAAATTACTGAATCTATTTTAATCCAATTTATGCTGCAAGACCTAGCTAGCAAAAGTGAAGAAATGGGCCTAACAATCAACAAGTTGAAATCCAAGGTGATGACAAACAATATTGAAAAAATAATACTTATTGATAATGAACAAATAGAATTTGTGAATCTCCAACAACTGTGTATTACCCATATGGCTGTCAAACATGAAAATACCTAAAAACTCCAAAACCAATTAAGAACTGCCCAGTGAAGTATGGATAAGGAGCATTCTTGGATACAAAATGAGAGATAAGATGCATGCATCTGATCTACACAAGATCACCAAATTCAAGGATGGATTCAGGACATACTGATGAATTATGTGCGAAATAAAGGCTTTAATATTATTACAATTATTGAGCCACAGTAATATATGGGCATTTATATTGTGAGATTTTCCATGTTGATAAGTAGATTTAATTCTTTTTGAGTTATAAAAACCTTTTACCTTGTTAATATCATCACAAGGTTCCATAAGACCCATATAGTCAACATATTTGAACTTGGAGTGCTTATTTAACCAGTACAGCAGGTAGTCTGCAATGGCTTCCTCACCCACAAGATGATCTTGTAATGATGCACAAAGCGCAAGCTTTAACCCCATTTCAACATCTGTCACTGTTGGTTCTAAAATACCTGGAAAATATATTAAATAAAATTAGGCATAAGAGAGCACGTCATCTTGGTCTAACACATAGTTTCTAAATTTAAAGTTAAGCATGACTCCAACCAAACTTAGATCATCTTAATAACCACTTGAATAGATATTCATTTCTGTTTAAATTTTTTTAATGATCAGTCGATAGCGACTTGATAAAACTAGAACTTTTTGCCATGTGAAATGTAAAATACTTAAGTTATTGAAAATAATCAGTTGAGGTTTTGTACTTTTCTCAATTCAGAAATCGGCTGTTAATGTCTTCTGTACAATGTTTGCTAGTGTGTTGCGGCTTGGATAGCTGTTGGTTGAACATGCATAGAGCCATTCCTCAATGTTTGTGTCTAAGATATCACGCTCAGGAGGTAAAAATGCATATCACTGAATTTGAAGGCAACATTTTTTAAAATATAACTCACCGGGTGTGTCAAACATAAAAATTTTAGGGTCATTATTAATTCGCATTTTCGTCATAACACTCCTAGTGACTCCCGCCACAGCACCCACGGGCAGTGCATGCCTAATGTGCATATTCCTTGTACGAAGCATATTTATCAAGGATGATTTGCCAACATTTGGCACTCCAATTATCATTACGTTATATTCTAGCTCCTCACTTCTATTATATCTGTTAGAGCCTTTAATCAGGTCTACCATTAGAGGTCTGAGAGCCTTTAGACCACGACAGTTCTGATCTTTACTATTTGTAAACACTATATTTTCTATTTTTTGTTCAGCCTTAAGTTGATCTTTTATTCTAGGTATTAGTGAGTTTATAGTTAAATCTTTCTTGTTGAGAACTAGAATATGAGGCTTGGCGCCTGTTAAAGTCGTTGTAAATATAGGGTTTCGTCCAGAAAAAGGAATCCTGGCATCGTGAACTTCAATGACACAATCAACACTGCTCAGCTTTCTCTGCATTTGTTTTAAGCCTTTATTCATGTGCCCCGGAAACCATCTTAGTAAGTCTTTTCTTATGTAGGGACACTGTTTTCGGAAATTATAAGCCGCAGCGTCGAATTTTGTAGCCATTTCGAGATTATTAGTTTGACTTTGAGGTTAGGTTAATAAAAGTTATATTGATTTACTTGCACTTGAATTGATTTTCATTTTAAACTAGTATGGTAGATAAGAATCAATAAAATTTAAAAGACCTAAAAAAATATGTAGTAGTATTAAGTCATGCATAACAGACTTGGGTAAATGTAAAATGTAGTCAGATGTAGTGTATATCATAGACTAATAGGGATGTCGATGTTTAATAATAATATGTTTAATAAACATCGATATTCAGCTAGAAAAAATCGATTTTTTGTCATCGATGTTTATGAATAAAAAGTCAATATATCCTTAGGATCCTCTAACGAGCTCTAGATGTACTAGCTAGATGATCTCGTATATCATGCTCAACAATTTTTCACTAGATTTCACCGTTGCACTCGTAACTGGAGTAACCAAACAAATAGTTTTTCTTTGCTTGTATTTTCCAAAGAAGTTAAAAATAAATCTGTCGCTTTCAGCGCTCTTTGGTACCCTATAATTAACCGATAACGTACTTCAATGACTGCTACGATTTTATAGGTTATTTTGAGAACAAAAATTAATAAGTTGCCCTTAAGAAGATTACGATACTAACTGCTTGCTGATTTTGTTTTGCATTGAAGGTATAATGGTTTAAGAATATTTTTTTTTTCGGTGTCGGGTAGCTTCGCATGTATGAGTGATGAGTGATGACTATGCTAAACTAACTAAAGTTCGTCTCACGAAAGAAGCCCCTCGGATCACAATGTTTTCGCTTTTATTATAAAGGAATAAGAGTTATTCGGTGGGACTTGGGACGTGAAATTCTAACTAAACTCATTTTTATTTCATATTTCAAAATAGGGATAATCGATTTTAGATAATCAACGATGTTGAAAGCAAAAAAAAAACAATGTCTTAAGATCGATGTTAACAAATTAATCATCAATGTTTACGCAAGACCAATGCATTCTTTAATATTAGATAATATTAATTTAAATTAATCGATATTACAAAAAACATCGAAATTTTGATAAAATGAAAACCGAATTTTTGTGTATGTAACATATACACATCTTGAAATACTTATTTTACTCTTTATCAATAAAGAAAAAGATTAAAAGTTCTTCCTTTTCAAAATTTACTTCAATCAGTTGATATAAAATATTGGAATATGTAATGATTTGTTCTGTTTCCAAATAAATTTCGAAAGATTCACTGTATTTTATTTGACATCGATGTTTTTCTAATAGCGATCATCCCTAGATTAATATTGATGTAGGATATAATTTTAGGTAGGATACAAGGAACACAAAACATCACTATGAAATTCACACTGACAGTTGTCAAATGTGGCCTTATATAATGAATGATCCAACTAGTTTATGTTTGTGGTGTAAATGAGTTAATCTTTACGGAATCGACTTAGTAATTAGTTAGACGGTCCAGCAAAATGATGCACTGATTCGAATCTCAAAGTTTGCTCCGAATGGACCAGTCTGTGGCGCTTACTAAATCCTAATCTTAAGCCTGATTAAAGTTTGAAGAAGAATCGTGTATTTTAAACTTAATAATATAAAATATAAAAAGTGTTATTTTGTTTAATCTTGGTACGAGAATCATTTTATTATATTTTTAAAACAAACGTTCCATATCAAAGGTGAATTTTTAAATATATTCGTAACACGATTAAATACTTGCTCTCTGCTCTTGAATCTACCTGAGAATTGGTGATCCAAATGAGCCAAATTTGAATAATAATCAACCAAATCAAAAATCCATATTGATGATTTAAAATACCGTCTCTAGTTGCGTACTTTGACGTCACTACGAGCGCGCCAACATTTTCGGCGTTTAAACTGCTCATAGTTGTTATTTATTTTCATGATTTAATTTTGGTTACTCTTTTTTTTTGTTTTTCGGTGCGCGATATTCTTTTACAATTATAACAACATAAATTATCATATAAAAATATATATAAAAAAATGTACATATTCCCTATTGAGATCATAAGGCATAAGGTACAGTCAACAGCACGACGGGTTATAAAAATCTGTCAGATTTCTCAGTTAATTTTAAACCTATTAAACACGCCACATCGTACATCGCTTAAATTGTTTGAATTATTTTTTTAAATATGCCTAAATGTATTATGTTCTCTATGTTTGCTCTTTTAAGTTGTTTACCATTTCTTTATATTAGATTTGTAAATGTATATGTAGGGAACTGTAGGTTTATATGTTGTTAGGTTTTTTTTGTTCATGGATATTGTTGAAACTGTTTGTTCCTTAAAAAAAAAAAAAATGTATTGACGGTAGCGTTCAAAATCAATTGCGAAAACTTGACATACAGTGGTAACTTGACGTGCTGCTGTGTGTATATCGTCACGCCCTATCATTAATGTAGTATCTACAAATATGCAACTTTACAGGAGAGTGGTTTAAAGCTGAAAAGTTGAATAAAAACGATATTTTAAGGGTTAGGATTACGAAATTAGGCATGGGTGTTTTTTATTCTACGATACATTAAAGAAATATAATAGATTATTTTTTTTTTACTTTATATACGTTACAATGTCACGTGAAGCTATTTTACACGGACATATTTTACTATCTTACGCAGGATGTGGTAGATCCAACTTTTTTTGTTGTATAAAATTCTATACTACGTGTCGGATGTGGCATATTTAACCCTTAAATGCATATTGTTGCCAAACGTCTACAAAACAGTAGACAGCTCACAGATTCAAAATAAAAAGCCTTAAGTTCCTGAATGCACCTTTATACTAAACGCCAAGCAGTAGTCTTTGGAAATAACAACTGGCAACACTAAAATCGGCGTCACTTTTTAAAATTTTGACATTTGAGTCGGCGGCAGTTCAAGTTTTGCAAAAGTAAGCGAAGTAGTTTATTATTTTTTGATTTTACGTTAGCATAAGTGTTATTTCTTCAGTGAAAAAACGTTATCATCTGCGGAGAAAAGTAAGTAAACTATTTTATGTACAAAAAGTAAATATTGCAGAATATTCACGATAATTTTAGTAAAAAAGGGTATGTAGACATTTGGCTACATTATGCGTTAACTGACTTAGGAAAGATTTTCGATTAGTTGCCATTTGTCTACAGTATGCGTTAACCGAATATGAACAGATTTTGGATTCTAACGAAAGTTATGTACATTGTGATGACTTTTTTGTCCGTTTTTTTATAGAATGACCCGCAGATTGCGAGATAAAGACATTGAGGAACTTCTCAGAAGTCTTGAGAATGGAGATATCTCGGAAGATGATGCCGAAATGGACGAAAATGAACTCGATCATTATACAGATGTTCGCGATTTGATAAGGGACTTAGATGATGAACCTGAGGAAGATCTAAACAATGACACTGTTGACATTACTCTTGTTTTGGAAGAAGAAGAGCTTCCGGCTAATAATTCATCGTCCACACTTTCGTTGCCAGATTCATCTTCTGGAACAACCGCCGGGATTCTAGGGGCTGCAGCTTGGAAGGCGAGAAGTCGTAGAGTGATTTGGAAAAAACGTACTTTACCTTACAATGAGGACCAGGTCTTGTTTAGAGGAAACTCTGAATTACCTACAAAGTTTTTGCAACTGGAGACACCGTACCATTTTTTTTCTGAATTTATAGACGATACAATTCTGACCAAAATAGTTGGAGAGACTAACTTATACATCAACCAAAAGGGAGTTTCTAACTGTCCTCCAACTACAAACGCTGAAATCCGTCAGTTTTTAGGCATAATTATATTTATGTCTGTTTTCCATTATCCAAGTGTTCGATCTTATTGGTCTACATACGGTTTCAAGAATATTTTGGAAACCATGCCATTGAACAGATTTGAAAAACTTCGATCTGTACTGCATTTCAACGACAACTTCCTCCACAAGCCAGTTGGCGACCCGGGCCACGACAGACTTCATAAAATCAGGCCTATAGTAGATCACTTCAACGGCCAGTTCAAAAAAGTTCCATTTGAACAAAGGCTGTCGTTAGACGAACAAATGTGTGCGAGCAAAATTGGGCATTTTATGAAGCAATACCTACCTAACAAACCTCATAAATGGGGCTTCAAATTGTATGTCATTTGCTCTCTGGCTGGATATGCCTATAATTTTGAGATTTATTCTGGCCAGGAAACAGCCATCGCTCCAGGAGAGCCAGACCTTGGTGCCGTAGGAAACGTCGTAGTTCGCTTGTGCCGTCCAGTGTCGAGAAATGTGAACCATATAATTTATTTTGACAATTTCTACACTTCAATCCCATTACTACACTATTTGAAGAATGAAGGTATTCTTTCGGTAGGCACTGTACAAAGAAATCGCCTTGGTCAGAATTGCAAACTACCTTCAAAAGCGGAAATAATGAAAGTATCGGTCCCTCGTGGAAAATATGAAGAACAAGTTGTCGATTATGAAGGTGTCGAAATATCTGCCATTGTTTGGAAAGATAATAAGCCGGTTACATTGGCATCAACATATGTTGGAGCTGAACCAGTCGAAACAATAACTAGGTACGATAAAAAACAGAAAAAACAAACAGCAGTACAGTGCCCACAAATCGTAAAACATTACAACGCTCATATGGGCGGCGTGGATTTGATGGACAGCTTTTTGGGGCGTTACAAAATTCGCATTAAAAGCCGAAAATGGTACATGCGACTGTTTTATCACCTGATTGATTTAGCTGTCATAAACTCATGGGTAGTATACAAAAAAGTCAATGAAAAGAGAGGAAATTCCAAAACAATTACTTTGGCAGATTATAGGTCTGAATTGGCTGAAACTTTGTGTCGCTACAGGATAAATGGAGAAAGTAAAAGAGGAAGACCCTCCAGTTCCAATATTGAAAGAGAGCTGGAAGCAAAAAAACGACGCGGTCCAATGAAATTTGTACCCCCAAAAGACGTAAGAACTGATGGTGTCGGCCACCACGAGAAACGTTGTGAGAATAAAAATAGGTGCAAATTGCCAGGATGCAAAGGCTTCTCCCGCACCGAGTGCACTAAATGCAAAGTCGCTCTATGCCACACAAAAGACAGAAATTGTTTCGCAACATTTCATCAGTAATTACCTAGTTATTATTTTCTTATTTATTTATTAGTTTGTGTTTCAGTCAACATGCAATAGTCAATTTTGAACTAAATGCATAATGTTGCCATACGGCTACTATGTATATTTTTGTATATAAACCAGTAAAAATAAAAGCTGGATTTTTTTATTTATTTTTCCTAGATCATACATCCAATCAACTAAATAAAAACATTTTTTCCGACGAAAAATAAAAAATTGTGCATTTAAGGGTTAACATTTTTTACTCGATTAAATTCTGTACAATAAGTCGGATATGGTAGGTATGAAGTTTTTGATCGGAAAACTAAGTATATTTTGTTAATTTTCCTAAATACGTTGTTTCTTATACCAAAAAAATGGAAATAATTTGCTATACAAAATAATAAATTTGAAATCTATTTTATTAATAAAATATGAGTGGCAAGTCTTTATATAAAGTTAATAACTTTGTAATATTACCTGTATCATTACATGCACCATTTTCAACAACTGCGTTTTTTGGTAAAATAAGGCCTAAAATCCTTGAGGATCTGCTTCTTTGCGGTCGACCGACATTATATCTTTTGAAATCAGAGTGTATGTAATGTTTCACAACAATTTGGCGCTCCAAAGAACCTACATGCATTTTTCCCGACATTAACTATGTAACTGGCAGATCGACGCAAGATCGACACATCCACTCGTCGGTTATGTCCGATCAAAATTGACTGTAAGTGAGTACCTTCATTTTTGTACGTACACAAGCGACACTACCGATATTAATAACGTAATTATCTTCGTAATTATAATAAAATCAACAATATTTTTTTTGTGATATTATTCCTTACACCCTTTTATGAGGTTTTATACAAAAAAACAAAAATCGTTAAAATGCAGATCCCACATTAATGATAGGGCGTGACGATATAAGCACCAGTTGACTTGAAATTATCATTGTAGACTTGGGACTGAATGAATTCCTAGTGACATTTATTTTAGTGCTAGTTATCTTTCTTTTTATCAGGGTTTACCGATAACGAAAATGTCACTATTGCCATAAAACCAGTTTTATTTGAAGTTTGATTGGTTAGAGGTGGGTGTTGTGTAGAACGCTGATTCTAATCAATCATGCATCTGTGTTAGATTAATCTTGCCTTCTATATATAGCCCTTTATGTGAATGATGTCATTACGTCGTCCGTCAGCTATCTAATTGTAATTTATGTAAACATCTACAGGAAACCATAATATTGAAGGGAAACCAGAGTAATCAGCTATCTATTGTTGAAGTAAAAGTCTATTTAATTGGATACACACGGCTGCACATCAGGCTATCACAATATGTTGATTTTTAACACCGTAATTGATTTCGAAATTTAAATGCAATATATTAAGGTTTAAAATCGAGTGGAGAAATTTAAAGTGTCGGGTACCTTGACGTCCTGTTGACTATACCTATTTCAATTAACAGGTTGCCTGTGTAGGATTTCTATTAAGCTATGCCTTGTTATAGGTTAGTGAAAATGGGCAATAGTGTTTAAATTCTCTTTGATGTATGTAATTTTGACCTGTACGTAGAAAAAAATATACTTAAAAATAAACATAAAATTTGACTTGTTTATACTCTGCCAGTTATAACTTTTTTTTTTTATGTATAGGTATAATAATTTATGTTATTTATTTAGCAGCCAAAACTATATACCATAATAGTTTTTTTTGCAGTTTGACATTAGTTGACATTTTAAGAATATTGGAAACAAGATGGATTTAATACTATTTTCACATTAGTAATTTCAAGTAATCAATTGTTACAATGTCACAGACTTTTCTATTGGAGCCTGATATAATAGCGGCAACAGAAAATGTTATGCCCGATCTCAACAATGATTTGGTCATGGCAAAGAATTTCCTCAAGCAGCAATCGGCAGCAACCGGGGACAGCTTGTTAGTTTTATTATCATCATATCAACAATAAATAATTTTCTTTTCTATAATTTAAATTATGTTTTGATTTAGAATGTCTGAATGCTACTTTATGGGTGATATTTGCTAAACTTTATGTAAAAAATTCTCTCAAGCTCTAGCTTATTTTAATTTAGTCTTTTTGCTGATGAAAATGGTAGTTAAAAAATGGACTTCGAAAAATAGGAAATCGATGCCAACTTTTGTCTTTACATCGTTTTTTACCTAACAAAGGTACGATCACTTGGTGGACGTGGTACACAAGATCCTTTCTCAGAAACCGCCTGATATCGTGGACCAGTTCGAGCAATACTCTTGGGAGGTGAAACGAGAGAAGTTCCGCCCTAACTTCGATCTGCTGAATGATATCTACTTGGCACCCCCACAGCTGGCGATCGTTCGCCGCCTTGACGAAATGTTTAGGGTAATCAATCTTTATAATATCAACATAATTCGATTTTCTAATAGCCAGACATGATTTATATTTTATAGCGAAACTTCCATCGCTTTGGATATTAAAGTTAATCTTTTTTTAAACGTAAAGCGACATTTCTTTTGTAGGTAGGTCCACTCAGTGGCGATTTATTATTTAGCAAACTAGGCACGACAATTATAAATGCATTAGGAACTAATTTAAGTATAGGAACCTGTGTAGGATATAAAAAAGTCAAAGAAAAAATAATTACCTATATTACTTTTTTTTTTGTTACACGACTACAAGAGGATGGGGTGCCGATGAAGCATTTGCCTAGGATGCTGTGTAAACCTTTTAAATTCACTCCATGTATCTGGGAGTATGTACCCGAGCCTCACGGCCGCGTGGGTGAGCCGACGGTCCCGGCGTTTCCGCTAAGGCTTATTAGATTCCACGCCCTAGGTGAAGGTATACAGTAGGGGTTTTAGTGGATAAGCCATCGAAGCCTATCGGTGGCTAGCTGCCCATTGGTCCATATATCATTGATAGGTAAATAAATTAAATCGAATGCAGGAATTTTTGTCATTTTATTTTCACCTGATGCATTTAAAAATATGCGTATCACAGTTGATTGCGAGTAAGAATCAGAAGCTAGAGGACATGGGTGAAGAAGAACAAGAGTTAGACTTGGAAGAGGATAGCACTAAGGCGAGAGTTGCAGACTTAATTGAACACAACTACTACTTTAGAGAGGTAGGAACGGAAATGGTATACGATACTGTTTTTATGTGTTTCTGACATTCGACTCCTTCTATACGTCCTAAACTTGTTTTATGTAGCAAGTGTTAATTTTGAGACGTATAAAGAATGTCGGAAGAAAGAAACAATGAAACTGGTATACAATACGAAAGTGGAATAATGTAAAAGCCGAAGGAGGCTAATACCAAAAAACTCACCTCCCCCGATCCAATAGATAGAATATTATTAGAGTGTGTTGTTGAAATCTATAAAAAAAGCGAACATGTATGAAAGGAGAGACATGAACGTCGCTATCTGACACTTGGTCCCTCTGCGTCAATATTGGCGGCCTCTACCAACACATGTGTATGTAGATGTTGTCATGCTCATTTGTTATCTCTACATTGACGATCAACCTATGGACGTCGACAAATTGATGATTTTTAACCTACGACCAGGGCGGCTATGGACTCCCGGATAGCGAGTGCTATGCCTTGTACATCGCTCTACAGATGCTTGCCATCAAAGAGCCGGTTGCGACTGTGAGGTAAGCTTAATATCAATAGCATTTAGTTAGGTTTGTTCGGTTACGGTGAAGCGAATGTTTTTTTGTCAACAAGTTTGATTGAAATCAATTCCAAATTGCGCAGTGGGACGCAACTTGCAACGAGCGCTGGTGTTGGATGGTGTGCGCAACACATTTTGCCATAACCCTGTTATGGCATAACCCTGTTATGGCATAACCGTGTTATGGCAAAATGTGTTTGTGCTCGCACCACTCGTTTTCACTTCACGACTGTTCACAATTTACTCGATCATGTTCTAGTACTCATAAATGTACTGGATTGCTCGAGTTGATGATTAAAAATAACAAATACCCATTATGGGCATAAAAAATTACAAACAGAAAAAGCATTACATTTAGGATCAATATCTTTTTCTAGATTCTTTGGCAAAATTTACGGGACAAGATCGAATTATTACATAGCGGAGACTGACCTGACGATCGAGGAACTGGATCGCCGGATCAGGGTATGAAGCACAAATCGCTTTAATAACGATTTTGTTGCTCTCTACAATTTAAGTATGATATTCTCACGCGTTTTGTATACCACACTCTGTACTCTTAAATTCGACATTCTCTGTAGGTATTGTCATCACCATCAGCCTTTTAACGTCCCCACTGCAGGAGCTCAGACCTTCGATGACGCATTATAGATTCGAATTGAAGGGTATTAACGACTGCAAATGCGGCTGGCGCCAACGACTTAACGTGCCTTTAAGTATCGGCATAAAGTTTTTTTCATTACTAAAATTCTGTAAATCTCAGTAACAGTAGCTTGATATTTTCTTCTATTTCTTCTTATTGTTATAGGTATATTTCATTAGCACAAATAATTACACCAAATAAATTGTATAGGAATTTGAGATGAAAGATATGCCGGGAGAGGGCGAAGGTCTGGAGGAGGCACATCCGCAAGAAGTTGAGGAACAGAAGGAATTAAGCGAGTATTATTATTAATTAGTAGTCGACTGAAATGTTGTTTTATAGCGTAGACGCAATTTTTAACTTAGTGGTTTTAGAAAATGTTGCTTCTACACCAAATGATGACTAATGCCAAAGGGTTGATAAATTTTCTCAATTATCTACAATATCAATCAAAGCAACACTGAATTTCATAAAGTGGGTGAGGGTGAAGCACGCGAGGAGAAACCTAAAGAGCCAGTGCCGCCGAAGTTACCACCGGAGCCGGTGTCTACCTGGCAACCACCGCCGCCCATACCCGTCGAACGTCCCGGCCAGGGAGTCAATAGGAAGGTGTGCATTTGAAAACCTTGTTCGTGTAACCTAATGTAGTTCTGTTCAATAAGTACCTTCTACCCACCACGGCTCCCCGCTTGTCTTTTTTATAATTAGCTGTGAGGTTCGGTGATGAATTTACCCTCCGCAGATCTGACCCTGCTTCCAAGATCTGAAACATCAAACATTCCGTCACAATACTCGAGCCTGAGACTAGGTATATAGAAAAAAATATATTCATTTTTTTTTCGTTTTCTCGGCCAGAAATCGAACCGGATTTCGCGTCATGACACCTCAAAACCGAGTACCGGTGAGCAATTTGGGTACGAAGATTGTTTTGTTCATGTTTTCTACATTTGCACAAATAAGTACAGCGTTTATTCTTTAGGTTCGTGCGTATGTAGCTTCTGAATTTACGAAAAAATAATCTTGAGAATAAATGAAAATAAAAATATGCCGTGTAGGTGTACTGGGTGTGCAGCCAGCCAGGCGAGCAGTGGATATGTTTGCCGGACGTGACTCCAGAACAATTGCGCGTCGCCAGACTCACCGTACGCTGCATGACCGGCGATCTTGACGCCGAGGTATCTAAGGGGTACTTACAACACACACGCAATAGGGGCCTAAATGAGTGGCGAGCAGGGCAATCATTTGAACCTCGTTCTCGGAGAAGCCTCACGCAATGACATTACAACATTTAAAACAATAAATAAGATTTTGGTTTGTATGTAAATAACAATTGATATTATTCACTTAAAACTGATTTCACAGTAAGAAATATAGAACATGATATTATTAAACTTCTAGTAAACTAATGAGGACATATGGTCAATAACCCAGGTACTAACGTTCCCTCCGTTTGAGGGTACGGAGCGTAACTACCTGCGCGCTCAAGTGGCGCGCATCGCGGCTGCCACCAGCGTGTCTCCGCAGGGGTTCTTCACGTACGGCTCCGGCGAGGAGGAGGAAGACATCGACCTGGAGGAAGGCGCTGGTAACTATATTACAAGCGTCCTAGTGTGGACTGATTTGAATAGATTATCGACAGGGGCGCAGTTGCAATAGCGAAGTATTATAAAACCAATCAAACTAAGACAATACAGAGTATTAGAAATAGAGTACGCAGAAGGATTTTAAGGTATTTTGGCATTTAGAAGATAGCTGTCTCTGAAGCTAGTTAGGCATAAAATGGAGGACGATTATTTGCCTACTAGTTTGTTATTTGTTGATTCATTTCTCGTGTATTTTCGTCATCATTTTACGTCACACAGTGGTCACACAGCGTCACACATCGATTGATTGAACTCGAGGAGAAGAATAGGAATAAATATACAATTTTAACGTTATTTTAATATATTTTTTTAAATGTAATTCTTGAAATAGTTATTATTTTATTTCTTTCACCCTACCAGGTGATCTAGCCTTCAATCCGAACCCGTTCTACCAGGGGCACACGTTGAAAGATCTCCTGGACCCCGACCTGACGTACTGGGTCCACCACGGCCGCTACATTCTCAAGCAGGGTCGCACCTTATGGTGGAATCCCAATGCTGACATGGTCGGTACATTAGTAGTCAGTAATGAGTCGTGTTCAACATTCAAAGTCTTCAATGAACGATGTATTTGTGTGTGTATGATATTGTAAATAATAAAAAACACAACTGCCAAAATCGAACTAAAAACAGAAACAAGTTGTATTATGGCTAAGCCATAGAGTTACCTATTAGTTTACAAATGTTCCACAGATATTGTTTCTTTTATTTTTTGTTAAAAGTATCGCATTTCAAACTCTCCGCAGCCTTTTTTGTCGAAGAGTCACTCTAATCTCATATAGGTTGAAGTCCGCGATATCTGCGGCATGGGGACTCTGGGATCTGTTTGCGTCTAGATCCTGCAAGATTTAAGTTTTCTTTGTTGGTGGGACAATGAATAAACGTCGTCTGGTTGAAGGAGGAGGGCGTGGAGGAGGAGGAGGACGAGGGCCCCCCGCCGGTGGCGCCGGAGCTGGGCCCCGCGCTGTTCACGTCGCTGGCGGAGGACGCGCGCGTGGAGGGCGTGCGCGCGTGGGCGGCGCGCGGCAGCAGCGCGCTGGCGGCGGAGCGCGCGCTGGCGACGCTGCGCAGCGCGCTGTGGCCCGGCGCCGTCGCGTACGCCACCACCGGCAAGTGAGTGCACGTAGGCGGGGTGGGTGAGCGCCGCGGCCCGCGATCGTTGTTGCCGAGCAACTTTCGCGAGGGTCAGCCATGGGATGGGTGACCAAAAAAAAATTATCTCGAACTTTGGGAGTTACGTTAAACCGTAGGTCCCGGCTACCTTAGTTATTGACGATACCTTCCGATTCGCATTGGGCCAGCGTGGAAGGTCATAGCCGATCCTCCTTAAGCATCTATAAGGGGAGCCTGAGCCCTTACACTGGGGGCGTAAAAGGGCTGATGATGATGATGTCTGGCTAGTGTAGGGCCGTTACACACAGACCTATACGAAACCAGATCTGGAAGGCATCGAGCGTGCCCCTTTAGTGAATTCCTCGCTCTACACCAGCCCGCGGACCATGACGCACAAGGAAAGGTCATTAACATCTTGTATACCAATATTATAACCCTCTTCAAAATCCTCTGGATCCTTTTTCGAGTAAGCCACTAAGACAGGAAGTCCACCAATGGGAGAGAGAAAACCGAGGTACCCTACCTGTCTCCCTCGTGCATACGTAATAATGCGGAACAGCTAGTATGTATCAAACTAGCTGTTAACGGGAAGAAAAGATCAGCCCTTGTCGAGATCCCTGCTGGAAGCTTACCGATTCTTTTCAATAGGTAGAAGGTTTCCCGCAGTAGATTGGCGAATCGATAGCCAGGCTATGTGCTGGGAAGAGAGAGGGCAAGTGGAGGCATTTCCTCAGGCGCCAGTATTAGGGGGGCGTCAAAATCATCATTATTTATCCATAATTTACAGTTAAAAAAGAACGAGCTATACAAATCTCTTCATACACATTATAGGCTACGATGTGACAGACATGCTTCAAAATCTCTAAACTAAATAAAAGAACAATATCATACACTATAAAAATATGATAATATAAAATCCGGCCTCACGGAGCGTGGGAGGAGGAGAGGGGGGGGGGGGGGGGTGGAAGGTTCTTTTAAAAAATTCGTAGACCCACTGGAATTAAATTATTGTATGTTGTGGTGTAGGCGTTCGGAGTGCATGTATATCGGATGGGGTCTCAAGTTGCAGCTGCCCAACTTCAGTCCGCTGCAGCTGCCGCGGCCTCAAGATGAGTATCTTATAGGACCAGAGGTCATGGAGATGGCCGATCCGACATTCGCCGATGAAGAGGTATAACCGTTGAACTAATATAACAAGAAGTAGGTTAGGTAGGTACTGCCGCGGTCTAAAATTGTTTACCACCTTAAGATTCATAATTGTATGCATATATCTATCTATACTACAAGGTTGATATGCGATTTAAATGTAAGTACCTAGTCACTTTTTATTCCTCTTTATAACAAAAACAAGGAGGTTTAAAGTCTATGATCTTCTTCTTATCGAGTAGGCTAGTTGACAACTTTTTTTTTATTTCATAAATAAATAGTCCATTAACATCCGAGAAATAATGTCGAAGTAACAGCATGTCTGCGATTCATACTTTCGGAGATACGTTGCTGTGTTTGTAGAACTGCTGCTAGTTGGCCGAAAACGCTCCCTACAAATTCAAGGCACTTAGTGACGTCACACGGTGCTACACTAGCGAAAAATGTATGAGCGTCTGGATAATTTTTGTAATATCTTTGTTATTTGTGCGTTTATGTTTATAGCTATAATAATGAAAGTTGTAACATTTTTTATATCTAATTTAATGCCTTATGTATTTTAGCAAATTTTTGTAGTAGATTTTCTCTACTTTTTTCAAGTTTTCAAAGCGTAATATTTTCCAAATCAGTGACTTAAAATTTGTTTTGTTAAACATTTATATGTAAGTTAAAATGGTTCATATTTTTCGAAGATATAACAAAAACCTGTATTTTCACTTGTAGGACACAAGCCTATTGTAAAAGCAAGTGTAAGTTAACACCAGTTTTTTAAACTTTTATATAACTAAAATAATTCTAGTACAGCAAAATTTCTCAAGCTATTTTTATAAAATTTATTGACGCAATGAAGTAATTTGATAGTAATTGATGATGAAGAAATAAAAAGTAATAACTACCTAGATATAGCTTTTAAATGTTTCTCGTATAATGAACCTAATTTCAAAACTGGTAAATATTTCAAGACCGCGGCCGTACACGTCACACTTCTGGTTACCACAATAGGCTAGTTGCCAACTTTTTTTTTATTTCATAAATAAATAGTCCATTAACATCTGAGAAATAATGTCGAAGTAACAGCATGTCTGCGATTAATAGTTTCGGAGATACGGTGCTGTGTTTGTAGAACTGCTGCTAGTTGGCCGAAAACGCTCCCAACAAATTCAAGGCACTAAGTGACGTCACATGGTGGTACTGTAGCGAAAAATGTATGGGCGTCTGGACATTTTTTGTAATATCTTTATTATTTGTGCGTTTATGTTTATAGTTGTTATAATGAAAATGGTAACATTTTTTATATCTAATTTAATGCCTAATGTATTTTAGCAAATTTTTGTAGTAGATTTTTTCTACTTTTTTCAAGTTTTCAAAGCGTAAAATTTTCCAAATCAGTGACTTAAAATTTGTTTTGTTAAACATTTATAAGTTAAAATGGTTCATATTTTTCGAAGATATAACAAAAACCTGTATTTTCACTTGTAGGACACAAGCCTATTCATCAAATTTCTCCAGTTGATTTTTAACTATAAACTTGAAAAATTAAGGTTTAAATTCAATTACACAAGAAAAATAAATTGGACATATTTGTCTAACTTGTTGACTGTACACAAAAATACTTAAAACTTCAATTGAGCGCTTACTATAAGTTTGTTGTACAGACGTTACGTACATTAGAAAGGGTGTAATTCAATCTAATCATATATTATTGCTGCACACGTGGATATAAGAAGGAAGGGTATGATTAATTTACAAAATACAAAATGTTCGAAAAAGTAACGTTCAAAATCAACTAGTTTCATTATTTTTATTGCAGGCGTATCGCATTGCGCATCTACCCCCACCACCACCTCCCGAGCTGCCCGGAGAGGGAGAGGGTTTCGGTGAAGAGGAGGAAGACGAAGATTAAACTCTTCATTTATAGTTTGATAAAGTCGCCACATTTCTGCCTATCTCTTTATATTGCATTGAAACATCATTACTTTTCGAAAACTTGCCCGTTCTTTTAAAAGACGTTTATTATTATTAAAAAGAGATGCACATTAACGTGGTAAACTAGATATGGGACCAGTGCGTTAGTTAGAAGCTTTAGTTTTAGTTGTGTTAATAAATAAATGTCTATTATAACAACAGACTCATTTCTTTAAAATATAAATCATTGAGAAATAAAACTAAAGTCAACATTTTAAAAAGTATCATATTTTATTGAACAAATAAGTATTCACAATTCTTAACAATAAAAATATCACTTCAAATTGAATTACGCTTTTATAACATTGTTGGTGTTTTGATTTATGCTATACATTTTAGTAAGAGATTTCTCATTTTTTATTTGTATATATTAATATAAACTGTCCATGTTGTGTCTATAATAATAGAAAGAGACATCATGATTTCTGATTAGAAGAGTAGTAGTAGACAAAAAATTGCTGGCATGTTCAACGGTGCTGGCATTGTACTTTTCAATATGAAACTGTCACAAAATAATATCATTTCTATTCTAATTTTCCTCAATTTCTTAACAAAAGTGATTATGTACTGTACATATATAATTGCATTTAGTCAACAAAAAAACTATTATTTATCAACTTAAAAACAGGCACAAGAAGTATTTTTTTATTGTCTTTTTATGATGTGTAGTAAACGTATTGAGGTTGAGTACTTTGTGCAAATAGTAAATTTTTGGTTGTTAATTTTTTTATATTATTTTATCAACGACAAAAAAAACACTTGCATTGTACGAGAGTAATAATTACAACGAAAACGGCTATAATAAATAACAACAGTAATAATATTACATAATAAATCAGTGAATAAACTGAAATCAAACAGACTATTCAAAAACGTGGCGAAAAATTAAATGTCTGAAGTTAACAGAGATATCGCTCTTAAGACAAGTACATAAAGTGCAGACTTTATTGTTCGATGGCGAAAAACATGATTGCTATGCCATCGGTGCCGTTATTGAAAAATGATTCTTATAATATTTACGAGTTGAGTGTATTTTTCTTTGCGTTAGGCTACTTTTTGTGTTTGTGCAAGTGTGGCGCAGAAAGCTTAACTTTTCCTGGGAAGTTTCGCGCGATGTTCTCCTCGCGAACGGCCTTCAGTAAGTCGCGCTCGCGAGCGGTCGCCGAACGTTCGCGGAGGAACACTTGTACCGCCGCTTTGGCAGCTTTACCACGCTTGCTGGTGCCGGGGGTCAACTTCACTTTGTACCTAACATATATACGAATTTATAATTAACGATAAAAAAGCAAGGTACAATATTATGATATCGTATATTCAACAGAGAGTCAAGATTTCCAGTCAATACTAAACTTAATCGACCTCCGTAGCCGAGTGGTTCGCACGCCGGTGTCAAGGTGTCGCCATCTCTGATGTGCCGGGTTCGATTCCTGGTCGGGTCAATGTAGAAAATGAACTTTAATATATTGTCCCGGGTCTGGGTGTTATGGTACCTTTGTTGTCTCAGATACGGGGGCTTTAGCTCCTTATCTTGTTATTTGAGCAATGAATGTTATGTTGTTTAATATTTATTTATTAATATATTGAAGACACCTTTAAAATTCCGTTGCGAGTATTTTTTTTATTTAATGACCTGTTGTGTTGTTATGTAAAATAATATAGTACTATTTTTATTAATAACATCTGCCTGCAAAGAAGATATCCTAAAGAATAGGAGTACAAACGCCATTGGAAATATAGACTTTAACACGTTAAATTAAAGTTAACATTCGTAGTAAAACTCACGACTGTTGAAACGTGTCACACGAGTCTGGTGCAGACGTATCGAACAATAGCAAACGACCACGATTCGTACGTGGACGCGTAACTATACGATTGGCAAACATTATTTCCCGCCTTTTAAAAATGAAGGCCAATTAAGAAACATAAAGAGTCTTAGTTCTTTAAATCATAAGGTGTAACATGTAACGCACTCGCACTCGGCTAGGGTCAGAATCAACCTGACAGACTGGTCGACATTTGTCGCTGTTACAATTCAATCTTCTGCCCAGGTTTATCTTACTGTACATCGGTGCAACTTATAGACATGGTTCTACAAATCCGACGAATCAACATGATAATAGGGATAATGACTAATTTTTTTTGTCTATCATTCAGGTAGAATATTAAACACGTTGTTAAGTAACTGTCGCAAAGCTGGTCGCAGGATGGGTGACCTTAAAAAATATAATATATATTCTCGAGCTACTCCGCGCTTCAGAAGGCACGTTAAGCCGTTGATTTTGGCTGCATTTGTAATCGTTCCAATCCACACTGGGCCAGCGTGGGAGGTCATGGCCTATCCTCCTTAACCATCCATAAAAAAGGCCCGAGCCTCTGCAATGGGAACGTAACAGGACTGATGATGACGATGACATTGCGTTTAAATATAACATGGCGGCACGCTTTTATACATTTCCCACAAGGCTGTGACGTAGCGAGCCCCCTTTCCTCAACTTGTATGCCTCCCATCTATTTCTTGTCAAACTTAAGAAAAAAAAATACGTATCTACTATTTTTCTTTTGTCTGATTAACAGACTATATAGAATTTCCTATTCGTCACCCCTAATAACATAAAGGTTTTTATTCAACGAGACGGTTCTTCAGGAACCACTCGGACGTAGCCGCTGGCGGAAAGCTAGTATGTATATATACGAGTATATATATATATATAAACTGACTTGTAATTATGTAAGGCTGTGTACGGCGCACACACGGGCACAGCGAACAGTAACTCGTCCTCTGGCAGCGGACATCCGGTCAGCTGACTCAACAACTCGTCGTCAGCATCGCCCGCAGTGGTCTCCATCTGGGATTTATGAAAATAAAAAAATATATATATATATATAGGGCAAACCACGAAGAATAAAATAGTGTTGAACGCACATAGCAACATAAAGCATACAGTATCAGCTGCTAGTAATACTGCAAAGGTCGTAACTCTGTTGCGAGAATTATTTTTGTGTTGACTTTTTTCTGACGGCTAGTTTACACGTGATTAAGTAGTAAGAAGATTTTAAGTGAATAAACAAAAATAAAGTAATAAACGGCAAGTTAAAATGTACTTATGAGCATAATAAGAGTTAAATATTAATTTTTTAATTATTACTTCACTTGCTTTAAATTATGTTGAAAATCTACTTCATTTAGTATATTACGTGTAAACCAACCATAAAATAAAGTATTTTGTTTACGCAATGATATCAATATACGTTGGGATGTAAAACCAATAATATAGTAACCTCCTGGTCCGGTTCAGGTTCCTGGTCGGAGTCCGCCTCGAGCAGTACCGGCGCGGGCGCGGGTATCTTCTGTCCGCGCGGGCCCTTCGGTTTGTTCGCCTTCGCGGCGGCCGCTTTCTTTTGCGCCTTCTTAGTTTCCTTCTCGTGTTTCGCCGACTGGACAGACAAGTATATTTCAAAGTATATACATTATAAATCTGATATATTATTAATAGGACATATTATTTTAAATTTCTATCACCAGATTGCAACGTCTTACGCCATTCACAGAATTTTGAGCAAATAATAAGAGTAATAGTGAGGACAGTAGCAATTCAATATTTTTTTCATTTATAATTTGACATCTACGCTGAGCTATACGTCACTATTCTCTATTCGTTAGAACGTATTGGTCGATTTGTAAAATACCAGCAACCGGGCACAACTAGATAAATGACATAATAAACAAGAACCATTGCTCTATGAGTTTTCATAGTTCGTTACTTTTGCTTTAAAAAAATTACATTTTGGGGTTCCGTACCCAAAGAATACCTATTACTAAGCCTTCGGTGTAGTAGAAAGTTGTAATTTTAACATTATGACTTTATGGCAATAATGGAAAGCAACCATTTTGACAAATGTTTTTTCTCTATGGTCAACACTGCCTGTTTCTTTTTTTCTGCGGGTAAATTTCTTCACGCAATTTTCTGTCAAGACCACAAATATGTAAAACGTTATATAATAATACATTTGAACCGATATCCCACCTGGAGCACTTTCATCATCAGCTCCTTGTCCTCGTCGTCTTGGTCGCGGTACTTCTCCTTCATCTTCTTCAGCTTCCCGCGCTGTCCTCGTTTCATGCCATTGTCCTTCTGTTTCGCTTCCGTCTGCTTTTGCTCCTTGCTTCGCTGCGGTTTTTTGCCGCCTTTCTTTGGTAGAGATGGAAATGAGAGGGATGTGCCGTCACCTGATGTAAATTATCAGATTTTTACATTATATTTGGGGTGTTATTGGATCATTATGATAAGTTTTTCTAAAACACACATATAATATAAACAATATAAATATCTTTCATAAAAGAAAAATAGAAAATTATCAAAAAAATATGTAAAACCAAATCAGTTTTACTAAGAACACTTTCCGTCACTAACTTCGAAAAATGAAAAATAACGTAGAGTAACTTCTAAATTACTCTTTAAAAGATTAGAGGCAAAATTCATGAAAAAGACAAAGCGTGCTTACTTTATATACACAGACTACTTACTCTTGTCGGACATCTCTGATATTGTTCTCGTTTTAGATTGCGTTATCACTTCACCGGTGCCGTGATCCACCTTTATATGAGTGTCGGGGAAGTCAGCTTCTGAACTGTCCTCATCGCTGTCACTACTAGATCCATCTTTGTCTTTTTCATCTTCTTCCTTCTCTTTCTCCGACGTAACGCCTCTCTTGTCTTCGTTTCTAGCAACTTCAGTCTCTGTTTTCTCAGTGTCGGGAGATAAATCTCTTTTGGCGTCAGTTTTGGATTCTTCACTGATGGTTTCTAGTTTTGGATCACTTGTTGATCCGGAATCTTCTTTGTCTGATGCATCATCTAATACAATAATAATAATTTTTTATTTGCTATAAATACAGTAGTTCACAAAGTAGATGTTAACATGTTATTAGATTTCTTTTGGTGATATTTCTAATTACAATCATATAAAAATGAAATTGAAACATGTCATTTATCCATCTGAGCAACGTTGGGAATTATTTTCGGATTCTGTTATCTACTAGTATTTTCTTTTTGTAACGAAAAAAAACTTTTTTTTTTTAATCTATTGTACACTGGTATTAAAACTTTTTGCCTGCAATAATATATCTGTTATAATATAAGGTACGTTTACCTTCACCATCGGAGACCACTATCTCTTGTTCATCTTCCTGGACGGAGGTGGTGTCAGACGCGGATTCGTCGACGGGCGCGGCCTTGCGCTCGCCGCGGTGACGCTCTATACAGCTGTCTTCCAGCTGTTACAGACATATACCGTCTTATTACAAAACTCTAGGTTAACTATGGACTGATTTCAGTTTTAGAACCTATAAGGTTTCTTCTGAACTGAGTTCGCTATTAATGCATTATAATAAATTTGTTTCTTTTAGTTTGTTTGCGCAAATGCAAAAAGGAAACGACGTTCTAGAATTGTCAGTTGCGATAGTTCCAAATTATATTCGTCAATTTTTAAGGAAGTTATTTATCAATAGTATGTTATTTCTGGTCGATGGTTATATTGTTTTTGTAACTTAAATTCAATATTTATGCAATACGCGCAGTCCAGCAATTGATTAAAATTTAGATTGAGTAGCTCGGTGGCGCAGTTGCTAAGCGCCGCAGCCCACGATCGTTATTGTAAAGCAACTTTCGCAAGGGTCGGTCACGGGATGGGTGACCAAAAATGATTATCTCGAGCTACTTCGTGCTTCGGAAAGCTCGCTAAGCCGTGGGCTATATTTACAACCATTAATACCTTCTAATTTACCCTCTAATTAACAGCTTGGAAGCTCATAGCCCATCCTTTTTAATCATCCATAAGGCCTGAGCCCCTGCAGTGGGGATGCAGGGCTGATGATGATGACTATTCGAAAGCTCTTTCACCTACAGGAAACTACATGATATAGGGAACACTTATAGTAATATATACATCGAGCACGCATTAAATATGTGACATCTGACCCGGAACATGAACGTGAACCCGAAGGCGAGATGGTCTGTGAGCAGGTAGTTCTTGCGGCCGCGGATCATGAAGGAGCCGGTGGGCAGGTACTCGCCGGTGGGCGCGGACTTGCTCACCTGATGCGCCCACACCCACCACGCGCGCGTCACCACCTTGGCCTCCCACGACACGCTGCCGACCAACGCGCACACTCAACACTCTGTATTAAACCTTAATGCCTCCACTTCAGAGATGAAAATCAATAAAAACTGATCGCTATATCGATACAGTGCCGCAAACTTATCTGACCCGGCGACAGCGTCGCTGTAGTTGAATTCAGTACTGTCACTAAATAATATTTTCCCAGTTTTAAGGGTAATAATAATGACATTAGCCAAGTTCTCAAGGAGTGGACTTTATAGCAGTCTTGCTATCCCCAAGAAACTAGAAAACGGCAGTACATTAAGTAAAAAAGGCATATTTCATACTGTACTTATATAATTAAAACAACCACATACTTTTATTAGTTATCAGGACTTATATACATTGTTACATTATAATGTTGATCATAAAATAAAAAATAAAAATGAAATGAACGATAAAAAAACAAAATTATTTTCCACTTTAATCCTAAATTGTCTCATCTTCTTGATTTTCCGACTTATTTTCCTTTTAAAATCATACATAGTTCTGTTGAATTACTTCATGTGCCTTTCTGTGGTTTCAAATGAGTAGCAGTCTGTTTTTTAAATTTGCATAATGTAATAGGTGGCGCTGAACGCCAATTGAAAAAGAGTAAAAAACGGAATGAAACAGAAAACAGCAAATCTACTGTTAAAACAGTAGGGTTGTTAATTAACAATTTTCATGTTGTAATTATAATCGTGTGAAATTCCTGTACTCGAACCTACTAATGCTGTCATTTCATGGGCAGAATCATTGCTTTCACTTTTGCTTTCAATTCCTAAACTTACGATGAATGGTCCATCTAAATAAGCGTCTTATTTAGGTCCTCAATTTCGATTACATACATATAATACCGGGTATTAGACGCGATTTTTTCACTGACCTGCGCCGATGTTTCGGCCGGGTCTAATACCCATTATTATATATTAAAATTAGTTTACTAATTATTAATTTAGTTGAAGAAACACTTGACTCTAGTTAGTTTATATGTTGTTTTTGTGTCATTCGATAGATTTAGGTCTAAAACGGATTTATTACACTTTAAAATACAATAATCGAGCATTCCCTCAATATAGAAGCAAAATATTTTCGGTTATATATATCATTACAATCAAAATATTTTAATCATCATTCAACTATTGATTTATTTTCTTTCCGTTTCATTCTTAACAATAAATTAAGCAACTAGATACGAGCGTCACTACTATGTATAATACAAAGGGCGTGGCGGCGCGCGTTACCTGTATGCGACCGCCGCCTGGCCCGCCTCTGCAAGTGTGCGCGGCGGCACGGGCTCGCCGCTGCGGTTCTTGACCAACACGGAGGCGGCGCCCGTCACCTCCGCGTGCACGTACACGTCCGCGCCGCGCATGTAGCGCTTCACCAGCAACTCGTTCTGTTGCTGGTCGCGACCGCCTATCACCTGCACCGGTACTTTGCTATTAGCAATATTTATGATGTAGATATTCGTAATCAGACTTGTGTACGTACAAAACACACTTATTTGACAATATAATTTAAGTTTAGACTACAATCCAGAAAAATGTTTATATATAATTTACAAACTATGGAAAAATAAAGAAAAGAAAATTAGTTATAACTCGATATGTCCTTATTTTATTTATTGTTTCATTCCTTATTTAGACGCAAAACTCTATCACGCTTCTTTTAAACTTCCCAAGCGAAAAATATCAATTTCTTTGCTATGCACAGTCAAACTTAAAAAAGTCCTAATGTTTCTTAATGTTATACGGTTTTCGAGCTTATTTTCAAAGGTTAAATGAAGTCGACAGTAAATAATCAGATCCTGGCAGATCAGAACAAAGCCTGTATCGCAGGGGTGGGCAGACTTTCACTAATGGCGATCTATATCAATAAATTGAGACGACAAGCGATCGACTTGCAATAAGACAATATTTTTTTTATGTTAAATCGTTTATTGTAGGTATTGCGCACATATCACTATTTAAATATACTTTTATTTACAATTAAAGAAGTACAGTTTCTTATTATACAAGTTAATAACTAATAACTACTAAAAATAAGTATGAAGCCAATCACATGAACTAAGAGTGTTTTTATCAGTTTTCGGGCCTCTCTGGACTGATTTACTTAGAGGTCGATGCATGGCACTGCGTATTTTCTGCTAATTTCTCATAGGAAGGCACGTATTTAGTAAGTGCCAAACGTAAACAGGAAGACAAATGTTCGTCGGTAAGTCGATTGCGGTATTTGGATTTAATTATTTTCATTTCAGAAAACGCAGATTCGCACAAATACGTCGACCCAAACAAAGCAGTTAATTGCTGTGCGATTTGTTGGAGACTTGGGTATTTTTCTTGGGTCAAAAGAGACCAAAAACTGATATCTGTTGCTTTGGCTTTTAGGTGAACATCTGAAATGATCTGTATCATCTCGTTTTCGAGAGAAGACAAATCCATGTCAAAAGTGTTCGATATTTCAGAAGCAGTAATTTCAACATCCACACAAGAAAAAGGATAAATCATGAAAGTAACAACGTTCGTCAATTTTTGTAAGTCAGAAAAACGTCTTTCAAACTCGCTGAGAATATTTCCAAGTTCTGTTTCGTATTTATTATAATTTATTACGGCGCTTGTTTTTGCTTTCAAACACGCAAAATTTTTCAAGTCCTTTTTTTTCAGTTGGTTGATCAGAAGCTGCGATTTACTTTTAAATGAGTTAATTGTGCTAATCATGTCCATAATAGTTTTATCTTTCCCTTGTAGCTCCAGGTTTATAGAATTCAAATGACCAGTCACATCAGTAAGGAAAGCCAAATCACACAGCCAACTTTCACTTTTAAGAATCTCCGTGTCATCACCCCTTTGATCCAGAAAAGAAATGATTTCAGGTAGTAATTCTTGAAACCGTTCTAAGAACTTTCCCCGGCTCAGCCACCTTACGTCTGTATGGAGCAATAAATCTGTGTGCTCAGATTCGCTGGCCTCCAATTGCACTTTGAAGAGGCGTCGTTGCAAGCTTCTGGCTCGTATAGAATTTACGATCTTCATAGTGATGCTCATCACATCTGCCATGTTCAGTACTTTCGAACACAACACCTGCTGATGAATGACGCAATGAAAAGAAAAAAAAGATGGGAAGTCTTCATTAGCTCTGCACAGTGCCACAAATCCATTAGTCTTTCCAGTCATTGATGGTGCTCCATCTGTTGTTATGCACACTAGTTTATACAGAGGCAGCTCGTAGTTTTTCGCAAAACTTAGAAAAGCATCGTATATGTCTGAACCGCGAGTGGTTTCTTTCAAAGGTATGATTGTTAAGAACTCTTCTTTAGACGACGTATCTGGAAATGCCATCCGAATAAACACACATAGCTGGGCAGTGTCAATCATATCAGTGGATTCATCAAATTGTAAAGAAAAGAATGAACATCTCATAATATCACTTTTTAGCTTTTGCTCGATATCACTGTTCATGAGCTCAACACGTCTAGTTACAGTCCGACGAGACAACTGGAGCTCTTTTATGGCAGACATGATTTCAGTTTTATTTTTAAAGTCGCCAAATAATGAATTTGCGCCTTCGAGAAATGCTTTTTTCAATACCTCGCCATCTTCAAAGGGTTTTTTGTGTTTTGCCAATATATGAGATATTTTGAAGGACGCAACTGTCGCAGCTTCCGATTGTTTACTTGGCCTGGTAAACATAGCTTGCTCGGCCTTCAAGCTACCTTTCAGATCTTGAACTTTCTGACGTCTTATTTCACTTTTGAGAGGAAAATCACTTTCGTAAATTTTATGCAAGGATTTATGATGCCTTTCTAAGTTGCCGCGTTTAGGCAAAGCTACTGAAGCTCGACAAACAAGACAAATACACTTGTCTTTCACCATGGTAAATAAGAATTCTTCTTCCCATTCATCGTTGAAATGATAAGTTTTACTTTTTTTTGGCGCACTCATTTTAAATAATAGTTACCAACTTCACTCTCTCCTTTAGTTACCCTCAGTACAAAATATATTCATGAGCAGCACGAAGTCACACGATCACGAAAGTTATTGGGAAACATAAACAAGTACAGAATCCAGAATCACGACATGACGTCTCACCGAAACCAAAATCTGTGCGAGACTGGCGAACACGTGCCGGCCGTCGGTAATTGTCAAAGCAAAGTAAATCGGGCGGCAAGCATAAAGCTAATTCGCCGCCCGCACAGGTCAAAGGACGCCGCCGCGCCGTTTAACGAGCCGACACCGGCACACGTGCACAGTACAGCCGCAAATAAATCTGGTGCCTTCTTATTTCATATCGACATTTTCGCAATGAAAGGTTGTTTGTTGACAAGTATTTTCTTCTTAAAGTTACGCGCGTGTAAAATAAAATGTTTTTTATGAACGCACTTTAGATACTGGTATTTTGACTGGTGAAAAGACCACTGTTATTGGAATTAGCCCAACACGTCAGTACATTTTTAGGAATGCGATCGACCATAGATTCCCTTGCGATCGACCGGTCGATCGCGATCGACCGTTTGCCCACCCCTGCTGTATCGTTTTGATGGCATGAAATTGAGAATACAAACTGAAATAATACTTCTTTTCGTTCATATAGATTACATGTACTTGGAGAAATCCAATTTTTAATTTGTAGATTGACAATATTTTTTTCTATCTTTGTATTGCTGACATTTTGTTTTATTATTCGATTTTTATTGTAATTTGATTAGACCTATATTTTTTGATATTTTTTATTAATATTTGGTCATAATAATTGTCATTTTCTTTATTCTTTATTTAAACTCAATATTTATTTTTCATAAATTTTATTTTTAGACTTGTTTATAAATGTTTTTTTACTCTTTTGTTCAAATATTTCAATAATCAAATAGTTGATCTAAACTCACCAGATAATTATCAGAGGAGATGAACCACAGAAACTTCTCGAACCAGTACGTGCGGCGCGCCTTGGTGATGTTGCTGATGGCGCTCGCTTCCTTCAACGTCTGCTTCGTCTTCCGCTCGGCACTTTTCAACGCTTTGTCGGCTGACTCTAACGTCTTCTGTTGTTTTTTGGCTGCGTTTCGTTTTTGATCATAGTACCTACGACATATGAGCAGAGGAATGTAGGTCCATACGGCAGTACATCGGATTATCACCAATCTCCAAATTTCCGTAACCGATTTAGAACTTCAAAGCTTCAAATCGATTGGAGATTTCCACATTTCCAAGGTCGTTTCTGATGCAGACCAGTAAGATAATGAAGTTCCGTAGTACATTACATTCCCAGTTTTACTCACCTCCTGGCATTGGAGAACGCTGTAAGTGATAGGTCTACGTCCACGAGCATAGGCTTCAGTTCGTCTTCTTGTTCGCTGTGTTGGTACGGATCAGATAGCAGTAGGGTGATGTGATTGGTGGCCAGCTTGAGGTCCTTTATACAGGACGCTACGGGATCCGCGTTGTCTTGCGCAGTTTTAACTAGCAGCTTAATGTCATCCCAGGACATCTATGTATATATACCCACAGTTATGTTTTGTACTGTTAGAACTGGGTGGGATAAAAGAATAAAACGTATACCAACAAACAATTAAGCATCGTCGATAGGATTTACACACAAAAGGGTGTTACCAAGAAATTACAAAATTTTCGAAATAGACTAAACTTAATTATCGATGAATTGATTGGATATTGAATAAAATAAATTGGATTCGTTACTTTTAACTAATCTAATTTTTTGTTTACGGATTCAATCGATTTTTTTTTAATTGTAACTACAAGCTCTCTGAGGGAAATGTAGGCTACTGCGACTTTTAATAAGGTGTGAAATTTGAGAGGGATGTCCCAGGTATTCGGTATTCGGGCTAAATAGAGACATCTATGGGTTTTAGGGGATATGCTTCTGTTCTTTAATTAATTCCCACGGGGCAAGTCCAACAGGAGGGAGTATTTAGTATTGCACCAGACGGTATACAGTACCCGGTGCCAGTGTACATGCCAGTATACAGTACCCGGTGCCGGTGTACATTCCAGTGTACAGTGCCCAGTGCCGGTGTACATGCCAGTGTACAGTACCTGGTTGGCGAGCGCAGTCTGCACGGCGAGGCGCGCGCTGTCCACCAGCTGTTGGTTCCTGGTGATGAGTTCAGCGCGCTCTCTGTCCGACGCCTGCACCGCCTCCAGTTCTGACACGCGCTTCTCGTGATCCTTGCGAACGTTCTGCAGTTTCTTCATCGCTTCCCTCTCCACTTGGACTGTCTAGGTTAACGATATATACTGTGTAAATAATGCTAAAGAAGCGATTAATGTTATAATATTTTTCTTATATTTCATTTAAAATCAACAAGTGCAGTACATATCACAATTGTAGATTATCGTGTTGTAAGTTAACAGTTAAGTTGACTGATGTGGCCGGCAAAATGTGTAACATAGTCCTTTTCGAGTATGAATTTGGAGGCGATATTGTACATAGGTTTTCAAATCAGTCTATTAGACATTGAGTAACACACGAGCGTCTTTTAAGTTGTCATAAAAAACCATTACAAACACTATGAATACAAGTTAATTGTAGAGTTATATAGTCCGACTTACCTTCATGTCGATCTTCTGTCCCTCCAGGGCGGAGAAGAATTCATCCACGGCCCTGTCGAAGGTTTCATACTCGACGCGAGGAAGGCCACGATGCTGCATCAACTCTAGGGGGTGGAACTCCACATTGGTTAGCAGAAAGGTGGGCTCTGAACCATCAGGGTTCGGACGTTCCTCCCTCTTTTGGATTATATAGCCCTGTAATAAGGACACAATGATAAACAAAGCTCTTTAGAGCAAACTATGGGGTGGTGGGCGTATATCGACGTTGGAAAGCAAACAAGTAGTAACTTGCTAAACCAAAATGGATATTTAGAGTGGAAGATATTTATATAAAAAAAACTTATTTCCGTATAAATTGACTAAGGAACACCTTATTTGTTACCATGGACGTTTATAGGAATTATTTATCGGAACAAAATTAAAGTTTTTCTGTTCTGAAGAATACAAAGGTTTTGCGGGTTACTACGTGTTGTGTTCCACATTATTTTTTTTTTATGCAAGGAATACTTGTATATTGTATAGAACTAGCATTATTCATTATCTCATGTGTGGAGCATGCTGTATCCATCCATTGAGGTTTCCATGGATTAGCGCTATTACTGAGGGAATCCATATGCCTCCAGTTTTTGAACTTAAAACTTTTGGATTTCTGTAGTAGCTTCTCAATCAAGCTTGACCTAAGATTTTAAAACTGCGATTATATTACCGTCAGTAACTTCCAGCTGTTTCATTTATAAAAAATAATTAATTTATTCTCTGGTCACTTCTTGAGTAATATGTAAACACTGCCTTGCTAATAAAACATGTAAATACTATTATTATTATTTTAGCCCCATACAAACAAGTCCAGCACTCTATATTCAATTCAAAATACTATGTATACCCAAAAATTTTTATACATAATAATAGTTCAAATGTGTTACCTTAGAAACTTCTGTTTTAGCATCATCCATCAACTTTTCTGCTTGCTTCAAAGCTATGACCAGTTTGTCAAGATCCCTCTCCAAATAGAAACCCTTGTTGGGGTCAGGGCTAACTTTCATATTGCCAGTCAGACCATTTTCCAAGAGCACATGGTCTATTAGAGCCGCACCAAATTCTTAAAACAAATCATATTTAAGTAGTAAATGTATTATTTTACAATCTCTTGCTTTTAAGATGATGATGATGAAACATATTATATCAGATGTCAATTTTTTATCATATGTGCTGGTGAGAAAATCGCTCCTTGAATTCTCGGAGGATAAATATTTAAATCACATGTAATCTTACCTAGATTAGGATTGAGAATTTTCTTCAGATTGTCACCTGGTTTACTTTTAGATAATATATTTTTCAAAGTGTCACTGGATGGTGCATCATAGTTTGTTTTAGCTCTGTCAAGTGGATATTTTTCTTTAACAGCAAACCTGAGAATTGAACAAATCTGTATTACAAAATTCAGCTGACACATACTATGTTATACATGTAGTATCTATGAAACTTTTATTTATTTAGGTATTTGTAGAAACTTTTCAAATCAGAAGAATGTGCCCATGTTTAGCTACTTACAGGCTTAAAGTTAACATTGTTAGAAGTTATTAATGTCATGTGGAACTTTCTGTCTGTCTGTATATAGTCTGCTATAGCATTACATTACTCTGTTCTGCACAATTTTTGCCACTCAATGACAGCATTAGAAAATTCCTATGTGAAAATTCAGAAACTTTATTAGATACATTTTCCATATAATGGTTAAAAATAACTTTTCAATGAATGTTAATAATGAACTGTCACCTTCATATCAATAATTTCACAAGTCTAATTGACAATTAACTAAATAATATAGTGACCTTATTTTGTCACCTTCCACATGAGGCCTCAATACATTAAGAATAGTCCACTCATGATCTGTTAATACAATATTGCCTCTGTCATACAACTCTAGAATGACATGGTATGCTGCTTCTCCGGAACCAAACTGCATATCAACGATACGGTCCACACCCAGTTGTGTTAACCTTTCAAGACGTTTATTCTTTAGGTGTTTACGTAACTAAAAAACAAAAATAATTGAAATTTCAAGATACAGGTATAAATATACTGTATAGAAAGGAATATTATGTAATAAAAGAGATTACCTATATTTTTTCACAATAAAATAATGTATTAAGATATTTCATAGCAGGGTTCTTAATTATCAAGGTAATTGTTTTTTGATAATTATCTGATAAATATATGATAATTATCCATTATTATGGGGAGCAATTTTTGAAATACACAAAGGCATTCATAATTTAATAAACTATTATTTTATTTGTCTTAAATTATAACACAAAATAATTGTTAATTAAAAAATCACATAGAACAAAAATATAAATAAATAAATTGAATATTATAATTTTTTTATGTAAGTCCATCTTAGAAAATTTTCTCTATCAGAAAAACCATATTAACAGTTGTTTAAAGATTCCCCTTTTATGATGATAAAAGATCATCTTTTAAGACTTTATAAGATAACACCTTTTATTAAAGAGCCAACATGCTAGACTCATTGTAATGCTCTGGTATAGTCTTATTGAATTATTGTTTGTATTCCATGTTAATATAAAACAACATTGAAACGTGAACAAGTTCAAAATGCATGTATGAGATTCTGTTATGCAATAGTTAGTAGGAGTAGAATATAACTGCATTTATTGCAAAGGCGTATATTCAAAATGTCTAACACTTGTATTCTCAAATATTCATGTTTTCTGTACAGACTGTTTCGCAATAATTGTCCACTTAATTTAAGTAAAAATAATATCAGCAAAAAAATGTTGCTAGGTAGATTGGTTTACTAATATTTACTATATAATTATGACAGAATAACAGAGGCTGTGGGTTAATTAATTAATTTTGATTTAAATTTGTATTAATCATATAAAGGTATCTGAGATGAATAAATGATATTATTATTATTAATAACACGTCCTAAAGTACAATAAGAGCTTGTGTAGTGTTTTATAATTATAAAGACTATTTTTTCTACTGATATTTCAACTCAATATATCGCTATAATTTATTGAATACTCTAAGCAAAAAAATGTGTATTTCATTGTCTTCAATAATCTACCTGACGGACTATAAAAACAAAATTTTGTTGTCATCCCAATTATCACTACAAACCCTATTTTCTAGTACTTACTTTCATTGTAAATCCAGAAGGTGCTACATTTTTGGGCCATTCAAATTGAGTTGTGTGGAACCTATTTCCAGATTCCAATAAAAGAATGCTTTTCTCCTCAGAACGCTGCAACCTTATCACATAGGTACGATTGTCTATATCATAGACTTGATTGACTCGCATGCCAATCAATCTGTTAGAGACACATATATTTTTTTTATTAACAAATCCTAATCTCTCATGAATCATAATCAAATCAAGGAAAGGAGGAAATAACTTTTAATAAGTAAATGTAAATACTGTAATTGATTAATAGTGTAAGTTTAAATATTCACAAACGTTAAAGATAACTGCAAGTTAGTTTTAAAGTTTATGGGAAAAATGGTTATCGTCTCTTCTTATAGAAAGTCAAGATTGCAAACAAAAACATAACCTTACCTTTGTAATTCTGTTACCATACATATTATATCGTATGTGTTGAATCGGTTTTTCATTTTGGATCTTTATGTAAAGCTTTATATATACATTTAGTATTGAAAATAAGTTGCGTTGTTACATTAAAAATCTGAGAAAAAAAACCAAATTTTCCAACCAAGCAACAACAGTCAACTTGCTGTCAATGTCACTGTCAAGTCAAATTAGGGTAGGGACTCACCCCAAATAAATCGATTATATCGAACCAATATTTATATCGATAGCGAATAACACAAAGTTCAAAGCGTGTATGTTGTGTGTTATAGTTATAACATTTAATATTTTGGTCTTTACATTGTACTTTAGTTAAGATCCACCGTATTATTTTTCTCTTTGGTTAAGATATTGCGGTGGTCGGTACCCCTGACATAAATACTGGTTGGACTTTGGAAAATAAAGTATATTACCTTTGTTATAATACATAAAATCTGTAGTATGGGTATAGAAGAAGAAAAGCCAAAAGCTTTTCAGCTGAAACCAATGAAATGCGAATTCAATTTTTTGAGTAAATCAGATGGTTCAGCGATTTTATCGCAAGGTACCAAAGTGTTTTTATTAACATGCTGTAATTAATATAATACCAAACAACGGTAACCATGTTATTCATTGAAAAATATAATTTTATGTGTATTTAGGTATTTATTTCTAAGTGAGCGTGTGAATTCTTAAAGGTTAAGTTTTTGTTTACATTGTGTTTCAGGAGATACAGTAGCAGTAGTAAGTGTTAATGGACCCCTAGACATTAAATCGACGAGTCAAAGTATAGAAAAATCTACTTTAGAGGTTTTATACTGTACCAAGGGTGGTAAACCATCAGTTGCTGATAGGTATGTTACAATCCAAAATTGAACATTGTTTCCCATCTTTTTATGATTGTGATTGACTTGCATCAACGATTACAGGTATAAAGAGAATGTCATCCGTCAAACTTGTGAAGCTGCAGTGTTGGGCAGTCTGTACCCTCGAACAGGTATTACTGTTACCATTCAAGAGCTAGAAGACTTCGGAGGGGTGAGAAAGCTTTTAGTATACCATTTGAGAAACATTATTGAATTTTATGGAAAATTTTATTAATAAAATATATTGAATAATAATAGTAATGAAGTTTCAGACTCGTAGTTGGTCTTTGAGTTTGTGAGTCAAAACCCATCAGTCCCTGGGAGCTGCCGTACATGCAATTATTTAACCTGCTAGTTCTGCTAGTTTGAATACCAAGTCTGAAATGAAAATGAAAAATGAAAGTTTGTAAAATACATATTCTGATTACAACCAACTGTTGTTGGGCTGGGTTGAAGATTATATATTGAAACTTATAAATTTATTAATAAGTAAATATGTTTCAATTACATGTGTTATCTGTATCTGTAATCCAGAATAGAATTGCTTATTTAAAATTAAGTGAAGATAAAAAATTGAAATATTTTGACTAAAACGCCTTTTAACACTAAAATCTGCACAGGAGATACTGTTTTAGATAAAATGGTCAGATGTCACCTTTGATAATATGTGACTTAATTATGGTTAATCTTTAATTTTGCCATTTCCATTCCTCATCAAAAAAAATTAAAATTAAGTTCATAGAGCATGTCAATAGAGTATACCCAAAGCCTTTAATAATAATAATAATAAAGCCTTTATTACTGATTTGTAGTTTGCAATTTACAATTTATACCGAAATTCGCAAATCATTCATCAGTGTGTCCTGCTGACACATAGGCCTCCTCCAACTTTTTCCATTCTTCTTTGTTTCTAGCTGTTCTTATCCATAGAGTCCCCGCTGTTCTACGTAAGTCATCAGCCCATCTCTTGAGCTGTCTACCTCTTTTCCTTTTTGTGTTATAACGCGGTATTCATTCAGTCAGGGTTTTGGCCCATCTCACTGCTGGCTGTCTTACAATGTGGCCAGACCATCTCCACTTTAGTAGTTTGCATTTCATATTAACATCCTCGAATTTGGTGATCTTGCGTAGATCAGATGCACGCATCTTATCTCTCAATTTGTATCCAAGGATGCTCCTTTCCATACTTCTCTGAGTAGTTCTTAATTTGTTTTGGAGTTTCTGGGTTAGGGCCCATGTTTGACAGCCATATGTAAGTATAGGTAATAGACAGGTGTTGAAGAGCTTTCTCTTGATACTGATTTTGTACTTTTTGTTTTTGAAAATATCTTTAAGAGCCTTTAAATTTTCCCAAATGTAATGGAGATACAGGTGGTTAAAATGCTATTATATTATTTCTTACATAAAATATTGCTTGCCATAAATTCCAACGGCCTAACACACATGCCTAAGATAATATCATATTTTAAGTAACTTAAAATGCTTAGTGATACTCAAATTTATTTTTCTTATGATATCTTAAGATAATATACATTTCGTAGGTGAAGATAGAATCTGAAGATGAATTCTTTTAGCATTTATATTCTCATATTTTAACGGTGTGTGATAGCTTAATATGTTAAAATATGTCACTTTAAGATATAATATTATAGCATATTAACCATGACCTTAAAAGTAAATAATTATTGTTATATCTTATGTTTATTTGGTTTATTTCAGTTGCTGTCATGTTGTTTGAATTGTACTTGTCTTGCACTCCTCAACTCAGGTGTTTCAATGCGGTGCACATATGCAGCCATAACATGTGCTATTGATGAAAGTGGTGATATAGTTCTAGAACCATCAAAACAACACCTGGACACCGCAAGGGCAACAATGACATTTGTATTTGATAGTAGAGAGAAAAATTTGGTTACTAGTGAGTATACCTATAGTCAGTTCCAGGGGTCAGTTGTTAAACGCTCACATAATATTTGTGTAAAGTAATTGTTCACTTTTTCACCTGTATTAGAAACATAATAATAGATCTTTCAAGTACATATTTGTATTTTTGACATTGCAATATCTAAAGTCAGCTTGCTAAATAGAGAATATTGTATAATATGCAATCTTTGTGACTACTGTTAGATACAGTAAACATTTTCAGTGTTATAAATAAATAAGGTCAAGTGTTGGATTAAATTTATGCTGAGATTGTACTTGGTATGAGACAAAATTTATCTTATTAAACAGAATGGCAGTTATTACGTTTGCATGAGCGCAACTGCAATATGTTTGCGTTTGAGTGAGAGAAATGCGGAGTGCCGTGTCATTGTACGAAATTCTTTCTGTTCGGTGACCGTACTGGATGGAATAATAAGGGGAATATGTTATATTCCACCACAAGGATCGCACAGATGACTGCAGACGCAGTGATTTTAGTTTAACATTACCTCTAATTATATCTAATTATATAGGCTATTTCAGTCAGATCGCTAATATCAGTTTGTATGTTTAAAATGAGTTCCCGAGTACGAAATATTTATATTTAATTACTTGTTTATTAATTATACTGATTTAAATGTAGATTACGGTTTAAAATAACTTGAAACTGTAGTAGGCAACACTATAATCATTCAGTCGCGCGAGCCGCGCGTTGCACTGCGGTCGGCACTGCCAACGCGCCCGCTGGCGTACAGTTTACGGCTTAAAGTATGGAAGAAGAGCATTATAAAATTTATACATTTTTAGTAATTTATTTGATAACCGTTTGCTTACCTTCTGCAATGCTACTTCTAATCATTAACAAGCCATATAAATTAATCTGATGATAATCTATGACACCAAAAATATGATGATAAAATTTTCTAGCGAGTTTTGATAACTCTTTTCACCTCATTTCAGGTGTCACAGAAGGTGTGTTCAGTGAAGATACGTACAAGGAAGCGTTAGCGCGATGCCACGCTGCCAGTGACTTGGTGTTCAATTTCTACCGGGAGATTATAAGGAAATACGCCAACGTTATTTGACATTGAATCCTATGGTACTGCCAAAGACTCCCTTGTATGTATGTACGGAGAAGTCTGGGTACCGTCATTGCTGGTTAATGGTTGAGAGGACAATAATGAGAATGACATTCGAAATTAGTGAATGTATTATTGTGTATGTATGATAGTAAAGTTATGTTAATAAATTATAAAGACAGCATTCACTGTGATTTTTTTAGTTTTACATCAAGCTTAAGCTTAGTTTTAGTTTTATAAAGCAATACATTTTTAGAAATAACTTTTTATCATAATTTATAACGTTATACTAATAACTGTAAAAAATATCTTGTATCGAAAAACTACAAAGATGAATAATAAAGTATGTTGTGGGGCAAATCATTGATGGGTCGATCTACATCTGCCGTCATTTCTCGATTTGGCCATCTATCATCCGCCATATCGTTCAATTCAGTTTACAATGCGGTTAAGTAAGTGAAATATATTTTTATGTATGAGAAATATATTTTACTCAACCGAATCGTAAACCGAATGCGCTAACCTTTAATCTTAAAAAGAGGAAAAATTTCAATGTTTTTTTTTGCACCGAATTGGTTGCGACTAAACTGATTTTAAAAATTCTTTCACCTACGGGAAGCTACGTGATACTCGGATTATATTTTACGCGGCCAGTTAACAGTTAATTAAATAGGTACGCTTGTGGGGTACAGGCAGGTTGAAGGCAACACCGATTGGCGATAATCGAAACTACTTTCTCGCTCTGTATACTGCAAAGTCCTTGATTTTTAAGAGTTCGACCGCATTTCCCTATCAAAGGAAGTTTCAGACTCAAACAATACTGCATATGTGTTACGATCAGCAGTTAGACGTGCTAAGTTATCTTCAGGAGTTTTCTGAGATCAAATGCTTGCTATATGAGTTCTCTGAGAACTCAAGATATTTTCCCTAACATAACAATGAATGCTCCTGATTCAACTTGATAGTGCATGACCGTCGCGATGGGTATTTAAATATGCTTCGCGCCCGTCAAGTATCTCCTGTAACCGAGCGTCTCCTGTCCGAACTTTCTGAGAGGTCAAGCGACTTTGTTTGTCAATAAAACTGTAACCTGGCCTAAAAAATTCCCACGTCGTCGTCACCCAGCCGCAACCGAGTCACCAGGAAACTCGAGCGTTGTCTATTGGTTCCATAGCAGATGGAGAGGCTCGGGTCCATCGAGAACCTCTCCCAGACAGATGAGGCCCTGCAATGCAGAGGTGGCTGCCAACCACCTCCGTAAGCCTCGAAGACGTAAACCTAACTTGATAAGTATTTACTATCGAAAACCTTATATAACGTGCGTTCACTGCTTAACTGCAGCAACGCAACGCTCTTTTCGCTTGATCTCCTACTCGCGTGATCATATACTACATGTGCATAAAAGCTTCAGCTTATAATACCTATAATATCAATCATATTTTAATTGACATCAACTGACATTGCATTATCCAAAATATTGAAAACTTATTTTTTTATTTATATTTAAATAAATTATAAATTTACATACAATATCAATACGTGGATATGTAGCACAACGGATAAGTACAGCTACCCACGATTGTTGTTATTAAGCCATTTTCGCATGGGTTTTTTACGGGACCAAAAAATTATTAAATAAAGACCCGAGCCCCACTGCATGGAGATATAAAAGAGCTGACAATGATAAACAATATATCAGTGTTTAAAATTTAATAAAGCAATTAATTTCATAGCAACTTTGCAGAACACAGTACTTCAAATTGATATAATTTTTTTATTTATGAACTGATTGAAATAAAACTTACACTAAATGTTAACGGAAGGTTACCACAATACAATAGTGAAAACTGCATTCAAATCGGCTCGGCAGTTTCTGAGATTATCGTGCACAAACGCACAGACAGACAAACCGACAAACATTTTTAAAATCATTGTTTTGTGTTCTGTTACGTTTACAAATTCCTCGAAAACAGTTTTTTTCATATATCTGCAATGTGCAGACATCGATCGGTTACGGTTTTATTATAGTATAGATAATAAAAAAAATGTATATGTACTTATGTCAAATTATGTCTACAGCTATTTTTTTTTTAGATATTTATTCGATCACACTATATAGGATCCTAGAGAGAGAACTAAGTACTTTACCTATTTATGTATGTTTGTGCATGGTTTGTACCAAGGTTGTTGACATAACCCATTAATAGCGACTTGATATGTTTGGAAAGGGATGTAACTAATGTGTAAACAATAATTATTTCGATTCGAATCGGTGGATTATTAGAGCCTAAACGCTGTCAGCCATGACGTAGCATGGTGTGACGCCACATTTTAATAAACTTAACGTAGGTAAAGTTTTTGTTGCGAGTGTAAAGTACTCACATTTATTGTGGGTATGTTCCGATATACACTGCGAGCACTGCGCAGTGGTCTTACTGCTGAAAAATCCGTTCCGTTATGGACTGCCAGTACACTGCTACAGTACCCTAGGGAAATTTATGACGTCATAAATTGCCGCCATATTTGTACTGTGAGCACTGGAGATTTCGAGGTAAGGTGCTCGCAGTGCTTTTGATCACGTGATCAGTCGAAACAGAATCAGAAAATGATAAGTTTCTAAATAAACAAAAAAAAAATACTTACGTTTATTATAAGATGGATTTAATTGATAAATATTTTTTTTTCCAATTTTATAATATTTTCTTTTGAAAAGAGGAAATCTTTATATTTATATTCACCTTGCATTAACAAATTTGAAAATGGCGCCAAAAAATAGGATTAACAGTATACTGGCCTGCGTTCCGTTTTAAAAAGTCACCAGTATAACTAGCTATAAAGGAACGGGCTTCCAGTATACTAAATTGACGTCATACTGTTCAGTGGTCGCAGTGTATATCGGAACATACCCATTATAACTTCACGGCTCGAAATGTCACGTGACTGATTGTTTATGCGGGATAACTTAAATTAATTAAGTAAAATATTTATTTTCTATATTTAATAACACTTTTCAGAGAAGTGGATAAATATGACAGTGGATAAATATTATCATGTGAAAGATTAAAAATAATTTTTCCAAAACAGTATTACAACAAAAGTAGCCATTTATCGTGGGCGAAGTCTTTGGAGAAGAAATTCTAATTAGTCCATCAGTCAGTTAATATAAAAATATTAGATACTTTTTTTTTGCTTCAATTTAATAAGAGTTAATTAGATAATAGGCATTGAAGTTGAGGAGTCTCTCTACGTCACAACTATGTCGAAAATGTACAATGTGTTTTTGCGCGTCATTTTAACCCAATGTATCGAAGTAATTTATTGATTACGCAAAAAATAATAAATTAGGAGTTTGATATAATATTTGATATAATCTTAAACAATTTACAGACAAACAAAAACTAGTCTCATATCTATTTAAATTGACAAGCTCAACCAAATTAGGTTCACAAAACTAGCTAACGACGAGATTGTGCCAGCTTGTTTTTTAAACTTTCTACACGTGAGTTGCGCTCGTTCTTGCCATCAACGAACGCGTAACGACTCGAATGTCAGCATCGTTTGTTGCTAATTGCTGAAGCTGATATTCGCAACAATTCATAATATACCGATATAAACAGTTCGAAATTTGAAAAAGTCGAGATAATAGTAGGGCGTGGCTGTGCGCCTACTGGCCTGCGAGATCGTAAATCATCGCTTGTTCCAGTTTTAATATTATGTTTTTTTTAAGTTCTCGTGTTTCCAATAAATAATAGCGGTTTTTATGAATAGCCGTGGTTTTTGTATAGGTATCCAATATTATAAGGATAAATTGACGTCCCAAGTATATAGGTATGTTTCTAAAGACTAACTAGCTTGAATATTTGCCAAACTTATACAGAGTAATTCAGAAGTTCCAGCTACAATAAAGCTAATAGTTATCTGAGCTGCTTTTATCTGTATATCGTTTATTTATTAGTGCTACTTATGGTTAGTATCAATCTTAAAACTAAATATTCAATTTAAAACATAATTTATCAAGCTAGCTCATTTACGCCTAAAAACTCTTTTAACCAATATAACCTATCACGTTGGCAGTTATAGAAGCGTTATGAAGCCAGAAACTGCTTATCGTGAGTTCATCTTGCTCTCATATGACTTGTGTGTTGCTCGGAAGGTTTCATGGCCTGGAGGAAGGAAAAAAGGCAAAGTATGAAATATCCTTAGATTAAGGGTGGGTGTCTAATTAGTGAATAAATACTACCATCTCAATTTTCTGTTCGTACCACGGCACAAGGTTAGTAATTATACAACCAGTGTTATTATCCTGTAGGTACTGTTAATCATAGCATTCGCCTTTTTAATTGCAGCAACGCAGTGTTTACATGTTTTATAATTCGAAAATAAATTAAATAAATTTTCTTGTTATTCGGAGTACCTATTTCAATTTGTTGAATTTTAAAAATGGTTTTTAAAGTAATTATAAGAGAGACAGATGTGGATAATAGTCAAATAGACTTTATTAGAGAAAAACGTTCGCAAAAATCCATTAGATCCATTCGAACTCATAACCGTCCGCAATCCGGGCGACTCTTACCCGAAACTTGACTAATTTAACTTACGCCACTCATTACCTTTACGTAGATAATAGCATAAAGTTAATTAGTAGCGTAAGTTATATCTATAGAAAACGAACGTAATTACAATATATTTTGATTTTTTTGCTTGTGTATCGTTTATATCTTGTTGTCGATTGTTTTGTATTTTTTTTACTCAGCGTCAATTAAAGTATGACGACCGCAGAGTGGCTCGTCCTTAGGATTCGTTATTAAAGGTATTTTGAGGAAGCCTGCAGTAATATTATCAAGATTTAAGTATTCATTGGCCGTGATAGAATGGAGAGGAGATTTACTTACGAATACGTAGTTACTTACGCACTTGTAATGTCATATTTCCAGGGTATATAAGTCGATGGCCATTAAAACTATATCAAATACTGTACAAAATCTTGTTCAGAGCATTGTGTACTCAGTAATATCTTTGTAGGAATTTGCTTTTATCGATCAAGAGCAAATTTATACATACTTCGACGGT